ATGACCTTCTTCCACAATCGGCTGTGCCAAACCGTCTCTATATGATAATGGCTATCGGTTTCACAACCCTGCAGCGGGCTGGAGAAGTGGAAAACATTGAGGAGCAAGATTTACAACCGTGTCTCAAGGGGGTACTCTGTGAGTGTGTCTCTCGAGTAGACGAGGAATCAGCCGGCACTTTGCTTCTCCTTGGGTTGTATCTCTTGTTCAAACCCGGCGACCAAGATCCACGAGCCATCGCCGGTGTTCTCACCAATCATGCTCTGGCAGTCGGACTAATGAATGAGTCTCCCAGTTGCAGGACTCTTTCCCCTCGGGCACTGGAGCTCCGTCGCCGGCTCGGTTGGTCAGTATATGTGTTTACACGAATGATAAGCATATCCTACGGACTACCATTTGCTTTTCCCGACAATATAATGAAAGTCCCACTACCCAGCATCATGATTCACGAATACGGCTCTGAGGAAGGACATCAATACGCAATAGCCTTGCAGGTCAGCCGGCATGTGATTTCTCTGCGACAACTCGAGACACGAATTATCAACGCGATTTATGATCCCAACCCCTCTACAAGTCCCCAAGAGCTCCGAATCCAAATCGAAGACTGGTATACACAGGGCTGTCTATTATCCAGCTCCACTTTGTGCGAACCAGACCAGCTTCCCTTTCATACCACCATCACCTGGCTTAATGTCCGCTACCAGAATCTACTCCTCCTATTGTACGCTCCTGCACAAGGGGATTCTGCAACAGAAGAAAATGTGCCGAATCTGCAGGGTGCCGCGCAGCAGTATATCCGGTTGAGCCTTATATTACATGACCACCGACATCTGCCCATGAACTGGATTACGCTCTGTCGCCTGCTTTCATTGGCTGCAATATTTCTCTACTGTACTCGTCAATGGGCCCCGTCCTTTGACGATATCCCCGAGATTTCCCTTCTCGCAACCTTGCTTGAATTCTTTCCATCCTCCTGGGTCGCTGCACATGACGCGTCTCGAATTCTGCGGCGCCTTGCAGATATCATTACAAAACAAAATAGCCCGTTGATAGCACGAAGTCAATTGTCCGGGTCTTCTGTCATAGACACTTCAGCCTTGGATACTGAAATGAGGCTACAATCTGTTCAAGATGAACTGGAAGCATTGCTCAGCCAAACGATGGGCGAGGCAAGCTTTTATATCTGGCCCCTGAGGTCAAAGGTTGGGGAGCGAAGGGTTTCGCATCAATCCTTTACTATGGATGGTTTGAATGCTGGACTAGAGAGTGGAATCCCAGTCAATCGGATCAGCGTTACAAACGACGGAACTTTGACCCCAGCAGAGAACGAGATGGGCGAAAGCCTATTAGACACGCAGTGGACGAATCTTTGGGTAATGTAGGATCTGAAATGCTCTGAATGAGAGTCATTTTGCTTCTTTCCTATTTTTGATCGAAATGTATCGGAATATCGATCTTCTATATGCGATACCCCCATGTTCGTCTATAGACGCGGATTCCCAACCTCAGCTTCCTGAGAAATCTCCTTCTCAAAGTCGAACCCAAGCTGTTCCAAACTCTTAACCTGAGCTCGCCGATCACCAAGTGCCTGCGCCGCCTTCTTGATCAACGGGAATCTTGCACGCGTCCACTTCTCTTTCTCGCCCCAGAAGGGTGGTCTTCTACCCTGCCCATCGTTTTCCAACCCATCCTTTCGCGTCGCATGTGAACTTAACTCATACAGGGAGTTGATGTAAGTTGCATCAAGCGGGAAAGCGAGGATATTGAAGCTATGTCCTTCGCCACGCTCGACAGTCCACTCCCCAATCCACCGCTCCATTTCGGCCTCAGAAGGCAGCGCTACTCGCCCCGAGAGTACCCGGGCAACCCAGGCTCCTTGTGCCTGACTAAAAGGGAATGGGACAATCCGTTGAGGGAAGCCGATTAGAGCGAGGGTGGGCTCTTTGCTGAAGAAGACATGCTGGTACAAATGATGAGGGCGTACACCATCCGTGATAAGAGGCGGCTGGAGAGATGATAAGAATGGAATGGAAAAGTGATAGCCTGTGCAGAAGATAATGTGATCGACATCTCGCTCCTCGTGACCGTCCACAAATTCCACACGACCCCCTTCGGCACTGATTTGGCTGATTTCCGGGAGGGTTTGGGCAACGGCAGCTTGTTCTGGGGAGAGAGTTGTTGTTGCTGTTCGTTCGGAAATTAGCAGCGGATGTTTTGACACACGACCAATTTGAGTGGCGATGTCAATTCCCGAGGCGGAGTGGCCAACGACAATCACTTTCTGTTGCTGTCTGAGTACATGGAGTGCTTTGTGGGCGGAGGGTGACATACCTTGTTCGCAAACGATTCAGGACGCCTATAAGAGGAAGAATGAATGATGGAGCCGGGGTAGGCTCGATTCCACTCAGCTAATCCAGTGATCTCAGGGATATAAGGGTCATTGTGGTGTCCATTCGCGACTACAACTGCATCGAACTGCTCCACCAAGGTACCGCCAGTCTTCAAATCGCGCCACGTCACAGTCCATTCTGGATTTGGGTGCTTCTTCGATAGTACCACATCCAAAATTAAGGATTGCAAACGTATGAGCGGCTTCAACTCCTCTGCATATTGATGGAGATAGTCTTTGACAACGACATGGCTTGGAAATAGCGCGGTTCCTTTAGGGAACGGACACTCGGTGAACTGCATCATCGAATTTGGAATGTTTGTTTCGAGAGAGTCATATACAGGGGAAATAAATGTCCCGTTCACGGGCTGTTGAGGCTCCTGGCTTGGCTTAGAATGAGAAAGCACCGATGCATTGCTGACGCCTTGATCGCCAGTGTAATTCCATACACCTCCAGGTTTGTCGCGCTGTTCAAAGATGGTGATGGTCTTAAATTTTTGTTCGGCAAGAAGATATCTGCATATAATCCATCAATTATGCATGTTCTGTCCTACAAGGCGTAGACAAACGTACTTTGCGACTCCCAGGCCACAAGGCCCTGCGCCGATAACAGCCACCCGTTCAACTTGCATGGTGATTCGTATAAACAAATCGAAAATATAGCAAAAATGTATCGACTACCAGGGCTCTTTTAAGATTTGAAATTTGGAATGTGAAGTTGTTAAGATAATCTACGCGGCAGAAACCGCTCACGCCATATCAGCCCATGATAACGCGTAGGTTAGTCCCGATCGGGTAAAAGCGAGCGGTGTCGCCCCGATATAGGGCTGGATGATGTGCTTGGCTCGAAGAATTGATACATCCTTCCAAGTTTAGTAAGTATATAAATATTAGAGTATGTTAGATTTATGAACTGGTCCGTTTCCCATAGTCACTGCTGATTTGAGCGACCATGGTGTTCGACCACGCTGATCAACCAAAACCGATGCCTGAGGTCAAGGGCCAGGAGCTCGATGCCCCAAGTGAACAGTCGGAGGTGGGGCCGATACAGCAGACCAGACGAGCTCGCCTCAAGGCTTCAATATGGGACACCTGGGATAAGTCGCCTCGAGAGCGCAAGCTTGTTCAGAAAGTAGACTGGTGGCTCCTGAGCTATGCCTGTACCGCATACTTCATCAAGTCTTTGGATCAATCCAATGTAAGGAAGCCACAAGTTGTGAAAATGAATTTGTGGACTGACATATACAGACCTCCAATGCCTACGTTTCAGGGATGAAAGAGGCACTCGACCTGAAAGGAAATGACCTGAATTACTTGACAACATACTGGAACATCGGCTACATTGTCGGACAGATCCCATCGCAGTTGATCCTCACCAAAATCCGCCCGTCAATCTGGCTACCAGTTCTTGAAATCCTGTGGAGTATTCTCGTCATGGCTCTTGCGGGCGCAAAGGGCCCCAAAACCATATTTGCACTCCGGTTTTTCATCGGCCTCTTCGAAGCCTCCGCGTATCCAGGAATCATTACGCTGCTCGGAAACTGGTATACGCCACAAGAACTCGCAAAACGAAGCGCCATCTTCCAGGCCTCTTCTAGCGCGGCAAACATGTTTTCAGGCTATCTCCAAGCGGCGCTGTACTCTGGCATGGATGGCCGTGCAGGCCTGGCCGCTTGGCGGTGGCTGTTTATTTTTGATGGAATTCTCGGTATTCCCATTGCTTTGTATGGCTTCTGGGCTATCCCTGATTCTCCCAGCGACTCGAAGACCCGATGGCTCAGCAAAGAGGACACTGAATATGCCGAGCGAAGAATGAAGGCCGTTGGGCGTGCGCCAGCGGCCAAGCTCACATGGAGAACATTTGTGGATGTCTTTCGCTCATGGCCAGTCTACCTATTTTCTACAGTCTTCATTGCACATGTTTGCGGTTTACGAATCTACTCATATTTCAACGTGTGGCTGAAGTCAACTAAAAGATACACAGTTGAACAGGTCAATGTTATCCCCTCTGCCGGATATGGGCTGCAGATTATTTTCACACTCCTCTATGCGTGGACGAGTGATTATCTGCAGATGCGTTGGCCAGTGATTGTGTTTGCTTGTGTTCCAGCATTGGTTGGGACTATCATTCTCTCTGTTTGGCCAGCACACAACACCGCAGCGATGATGGCGGGCTGGTTGTTGACTTATGTTGAGACTGGCGCGGGAATCATTTTCACTTCTTGGGTTAGTGAGACGTGCGGTTTCTCGGCTGAGCATCGTATTGTTGTTATTGGAGTGATGGAGGCGGTTGCTTTCACATTCAATGCTTGGGTGCCTCTGTTGGCCTATAATAGCAGCCAAGCGCCGCATTTCAAAGTGGGGTACCAGATTGCTGCCATGTTCTTTGCAGTCGAGCTTGTTTTGACGGTCGTTATTGCCGCGGTTGAGAAACGATGGCCAGCTCGGAGTCTGGTAAAAGACAAGCAAGCATCTAGTACTGTATAATAAGTTCGGCCAGTTGGTAGCTGCTTATGATAATTTGATTGCAAAGTTCAAAAATTAGGAAAAAAGTCATAAAGCCTTGCGTGTCTAATTTGAAACAGAAAGTATATTTACAGAAATGTCCACCTTATCCAACATAACACTTCAAAGATCCAAATGTTGGATCCACCGTTTGGCGCTCATGGCATAAACCAGGACCGCGCCAGCCATAAGTTTGGGAAAGATCGCTGACAAGGTCGCACTGTGTATTAGGAGAGACAGTACACAGACCATTCGACATAATCCATGATTTGGGTTTATTGAGAGAATCACTTTTACAGTCCCTCCACTCCCAATTACCGCTTGATGGTATAGTCCACCAACGACACGAAACGGACGTGTCGGTAACATCAGTCTTGAGCTTGCTCGCGCTGCGAAACTTCATACAGTCACTGTCCTCTAAATTCTTGTTGTGGCCTTGAAGCAATACGTAGCTGCCAGTGCAACCTATGCCATCGAACATTTTCAGTGACCACCCGCCGGGTACGGTGACAACACCATTCACAGTCTTGGTAGCGGCAGCTTTGGTTGTGGTGCTTTTGGCTGACGTCTTAGCCGTTGTAGCAGGTTTGGCCTTGGTAGTGGTTGTGGTGGTGGAGACTATTGTATTCCGAAGTTGGCTCGCCAAAGCACTGATCTTCTCGGCCGGTTTCAGGAAGTCACCAGAACCAGTAGTAACCTTGGTTGGAGCTGCGGCTGTCGTGGACATGGTATCTTCTGAGTGTTGGAATGTCAAGGGCACATCTACCAAAGGTATATCTGTCGTGAAAGCGTGTGGATCCGCGTTCTTTGCAGCTTGAGCTTTAGCTGTAACTGTCACAGCCTCGGCTGTCATTGTTACAACACTTCTAGCTGATAACGGTATGCCTTTTGTTTCAGTTGTAGCTGACGTAACCTTAGCTGTGGATTTGGTCTTCGCGGATGTAGCTATAGATGTGGCAGACGTGGCAGATGTGGCTTTAGATGTAGCTTTGGATTTAGCAGATGTAGGTTTAGTTGCAGACGCAGGAGGCACAACGGCGGCGGGTGCGGATGAGCCACAGAAGTCTGCCCCAGTACCACATTTACCCTTTGTAGAGCACTGAAGATATGGTTAGTCTTAGCCGCGGGATTGAAATTGAATCTTGATTAAACTCACACATTGACCCGCAGGGCACGGGTTCAAAGAAGCAATCTCGGTCCACAACTTGGGACGTGCCGTTCCAGGCACCTGGGGACCACAGATTGCATCACTGATTGCAACTGGCATTGGGGGTTGACCCTCGCTAAGACACATCTGGCCACCAATCTGGAGCTTGTTACACCCGTACCATGCCGTGGTATGGGTGTTCCAAGTCTCGATCTTGGCTTCAGTGATCTTGTACCCCTCGGCAATCTTCGCGCAAGTATCGCTATCGCGGATAGTATAAGCGTAGCAGTAACCACCACTGTCCGGTGGAAAGAGAGTTGTTCCCGCCCCGCAGCATACAGGTGTTCCGTGAGACAAAGAGGAGCACGCAGTGTTCGGGTTGAAGGAAGTGAACAATTCTTTCGAGATACTACACCTGGAAGCCAAATTGTCGCATGTATCCCCAGTGCCGACAAGAATAGAAGGACAGGTGTAGGGGTAAGTGTACTGGGACCGGTCCTCAAGTCGGTTGTACTATCTTGGGTTAAAATTTGAGCTACCGGCAATGTCAGGGGTTAGGGGAAGTAGGCACTAACCTCAGATTCAGATACTGACAACGCAACTGTCCCATGAATCAAACAGAGACCGCACAGGACGATGAAGACACCCTTCTGAAAAGACCCCATCTTGTGTTGATTTGGCTGAGGGGATGACAGTCTTTGAAGAACAACGTGCGGCTTTATATATATCACCAAAGTACTCTATCATGAATGTCACACTTGAGAGTAGCACTGCGGAGGCAATATACATTCATGCAGCCAGTGAATCATGTGAAACTCATATATGCTCTTTACAGTAACATATAGGATCTGAGAGTATCTGAAGAGCCACTTAAAAACATTCGTTGTCGAGGACACCATTTTGGATTGTTGTAAAGAACAAGCCAAAGTGTCTCCTCTGCCACAGCCAACAAAGAAAGTTGTACCCCTCCCAGTGCAAATGTGACCCCGAATGACCTTTGTTCGAGTATATCTCTTTCCTATTCGGAGTTGGCATGACATTTTTTCTTTCAACAACCGATCCAACACATCGTGCGGCTACGGGTCTAGGCTGCTGGGGTGGCAGATACCCGCATCAAAGCCACCGGTTGTTGGGGTTTCATGCAACCAAAACAAAGGAATAAAAGAATGACCCAATGAGAGCAAGATAGAGATTTTGCGACCATCTAGAATTTCTTTCTAAGTTAACCTCAAAATATTGCTTGTATAGGGCGGATGTCACCAAAGAATAGCGCTCATTCTTGGGAGTTCAACACCATATCTTTAGGCACCTTGAACATCAGAGAATATCGTGAATTATATCACCAACGAGTTCAGTGCGTGCACTGAGTCAAATAACAAATCCCTGGGAATTGGAGTAACAAGATTAGCTGAGGGCTTATCGGCTTTGTGTCACAGTTCAAGGGTGCGAAGGGACATGGTTTCAGACATCTCATTGAACCTGAGCCATCCATCTTAATTGGTAATATTAAAAACCCTGACAACGAGGAAAGAAGAATGTGACGATGAATATATACTCCCTGCTACCAACAAAAAATTCAAAATGTACTACGCCAGGTGTAAATAGTATCCAGCCCCAGCTTGAAGCAGGTACCGATCCACGATCAGTGAACGTCCCTCGGTGTTGGGTGATAGGATATAGACCCTCTAGTATAGAAAATACTTTAGGCGGTGATGAAACCATCTGAATTTAGACTTGGCTCATTATATTGCCTCTCTCGGGCTTTTATTTTCTTTTAAATATCACACCAGGTGTTGCCTCACTTCACTTAACTGTCATTTCATTTCGATTTCATTTGCACTTGAGATTTCATTCAATTATGACTATATATAGTTATTTGAATATTTCGCCCCGAGCTTATATATTTAATTCATATTATGAATTATATAACTACATCGGCAGTCACCTATCCAAGAAGACATGAGTGACACCGGTCCTTAATTCAGGAAAGAAGAATGTGAAACCCTTTCAAACCTACACAGAAGGATTGCGGACAGTTCCCATCCAGTCGGGAAAATTTTGGAGGAAGCAGCCATGATACTGGACTTCGTTGAATAAATTCATGGGCCAAGCGGATCGATCGTCCCTGCTGTATAAGGATTGGAGAACCAACTCGGACTCGGACTCTATCAGAGCCAAATCAGAGCCAAGCAAATGAATCGAAGGGGCCTACAGAAGCTGGTTGATGGGAGGGGGGGGGTTCGTCGCCAGTTTCGACAATATTTCATCTTTCAAAAACCATACCTCCCTCTTGGTGATTATCCATGAAGCGTCTCGGCTTCCTCCAGAACGCCATCATTCGTTGAGTATCTGCTAATGCTTTGCGCGTTCCTTGGGCCATGCACGATTCCTAAACTTAGCCGGTGTCTTCTTGTCGTTCTCCCATTTTGCACGATATCCGTACCGTCTTCAACGAATGGGATGAGTGGGCTGTTGATGTCTCGGACTGGCTTCACCTTGTTCGTTCAGAGGAATCAATCTACGCTTGACACGGGGCAGCTATAGGTTTCAACTACCATCCAGTCTGGTATTTCCGAGTTTTTTGACGACTTTCATCTTCTGTTTAGCCGTCCATCGGCTAATATAATGGCCCCAGGGTGATTCGGGCTAATCTCGTCTGTTTCTTAGGTCCCTAAGGGGATGGAAGGGAACCGTTATGGGTTCTTCGCTGTCCAGATTTGGGTGGAGCAGTTCTGGACGAACACTGATGACAGGCTTGGAATCGATGCAGATGACGAGTCGACCGCTTTCACGCTGAGCTATGGCCTTGTGATGGCCGTTGCAGCGGCGTTTCGCCACCTAGTCGCGAGCTTCGATAATTTTGTCAAGTCGCACCGACGTGCCCACTCCCTTACCGGAACGTACGTGCCCCAGGTTGGTTTTCCTTCTTGACTCGGGTCCTTATCGGTAGTGTTTCATTACTGATTTTTCTTGATTTTTAGGCGACCCTCGATGTCTATGCACAATGGGTTTCCACTTGCGCTTCGTTGGTGGTCCAACCTGCTGCCTTGCCATCTTCGGCCCACGACTGGGAGAAATTGGCAAACGAGGTTAGATCTCGCGAGCCCAGGTGCAGGTTGTAACAATATATCTGAGCATTACCGGTGGGATGTTCGAATCTGCTCATGGGAGTCCTTTTTCGCTCGCCTGGCTGACAAGGCGTGCTCTGTTTAATTAATCAACATTACCCTTTGGGGCCAACGGTATGATAGATACATTTACATAGTTTTTGATCTGAACATGTTAAAAATACCTCTGAGTTATACCATATCTAATTGGGTATGGGGTCATACCCTGGAGAAAAAGGGAGATAATGTCATGACACGCACTATATATATCGGAGTCTGGACGGTCTGCTTGTAGTTAGATCATTAACCTTCTATTATTCTAATTTCCTGTGAGTTGTATTTACATTTAGCCAGGCTAGTCAGGGTCGACCCGGAGTAGGCCCTGTTACGTGGTCTCGTTCTCTTGTCGCCAAGTGTCTTTGCCGCAATTGCGGAGCCTTAGATAGGCCCAGGTAAGCTACAATATAACGTCATTCTTATCTTCCCCAAGTCTTCACGCTTACATTCTGGCTTTCTTCGAGTCCAAATGTGTGATTTCCCTTTCGATTGGACTCTGCAGCTCCTGTCTCGCTCATTTCCATCCTCGGCCAGATCTTTACTCTTTACAAGTCGAACCAACCAATGGCCAACTGTCTTTAGCGGAGATGGTTAAAAGAGCAACGACTATATCAATGCCTCGAGAACTTGGTCCATTTAATGGAGTTTGGCAACCACCGGGAGGCCCCTACTATCTAGGAGTTGGAAAGTAGATCTTCGCCAAAGAATACTTCATATAACCCCGCTCTTATAGTCCTTTCCTACACCTACTATGTAGGCAGGTACCCATACAGCCCGTTTAACCAGGATCATGCATCCCTACAAACGGGGCTCTTTATCCCGGAATATAATTGAGTGTTTAATTGCCAATTGCACTTGTAACAACTTACGAATATCTTGGGATTTTGCAGCCGCTGTGTTGAACCCATGATTCTCATCGGCCCAAAAAGTTGTTGTCTCACTTTGAATTTGTTTTTGAGCCGATTTCTACAGTCCGTTGATGGGCTGCAGAAGGATCTTGTTAGGGAGAAGGTGAGCGTGCCTCCAGGTCCTGGTTTTGTTTCCTCCAGCCTGTGCCCGCGCGGGCACAGAACGACCAATGAAACCCCAATTTCAATCTAACTAATCAGTTAACCCTTTGGTAATGGATGTAAAGTGAGTAACATTAAAGTCTGAGGCCGTATCTATAGAGAAGTGAATCCGATGTCAAGGAAAACCCGCCTTATGATAAAAACATATTGGAAGGCACTTCATTCAAACGCACCGACCGTTTGCACTCGAATACTACACATTTACACGCATACAAGACTCAATACAGAAAATTAAAGGAGAAGTATCCCATAATACGGCGCACTAGAAGAGATTCATCATGTCCAAAAAGAAAGATGGCTCCGGCTGACCTGTGACATCAGACATAGTACACCCCTGAGCAGTCGCCAAGTTGCACAATTTGTCGAACGAGTCCGAGTCCGAGTCCGAGCCAAGCAGCTCCAAATAGCTCATAGCTAAATTATTCCCACCCTGCAAAACCCGCAAAGCCTTCTTCAAATCCTCCAACTTCTGATGTTTATCCTCCGATGCGGAGACACACGTACTGACTTGATCGGCATGTGTCTTGAGAAACTTTGCCGAGAGATAGAGTAGCATGGGAGAAAACGCATGCGCCTGTGTAACATCGTGAGACACACAAGCCACCGCCAATTCGCGGGGAGGGAAAGCGGGTGGTCTCACCTTGAAAAAGCTGGCTCGGGTGAGCGGCTTTGCCAAACCTACTATCTCGTACGCGGAGTAGAGAGGAACCAAGATAATCTCCTCGTCAATCACTACATGCAGGGTCTCCATGATATTGTAGAGCCATATCACCGCGGCATTGGCGAACATGTTTGTAAACAGACGCATGGGATCTTGGAGTTCCGGCGAGGATGGGGGTAGTGAGACCAGCAACAACCGCTGTTGTACCATTTGGTATAGTCGGGCATGGCGTTTCCAGGTATCTCCGTCTGTCGGAGATGTTATGTCGCCGTGTGTGGCGCGCTGGAATGCAACGCTGTGCCAGCACATCGTGATCAGGACGATTGTCTCCGCGAAAGGCGGTAACATTTTCTGTCCGGAGGCCTCGATCTCGTCATATAAGGAGTTCATAAGGACGGGCCTGCTATGCTGGAAGTCCGACTCTGAAACGGGAAGATAGATGTAGAGCTGGAGTAGATATCAGCATTACTCGGAGCATTCTGTCAAAAAAAAAAAAAAAGTAACTGCTCACTGCTTCCTCGTGTAGACTTAGAGGCCACTCGTCAGAGATATTGAGGAACCGGTCTAGACAATATGCGAGCCAGTATGTCCGACGTTTTTCCTCGGCCTCGGCCCATCCTTCGGGGTGCGCCATGTTAATACTAACGTCATTGAGCCTATCAATCTCGTGTAATTTGGCGAGTTGGATAATTCGAAAGGCACGTCCGGCAGTAAGCCATGCTCTTCGGTAGCTCATGTAGCGGAACTCGTAGTGAGTTAGAAGAAGCCATGCTTGGGCTATCTGGGGACAGGCCGCACTGCTGGATTCGATATCTTGATCTAAAGCGTCAATCGCGGACCGCGCACGGATGTAAAGAGATTGCCGCATGTGCTGTAAATGGGCGGATGAGGCTGCTGCCAGCGCCCACATTGAAAATTGCAAGCAGATGTGAGAAGCTGATTTATTAAAGCTCTGTGCCCAGGAGAAATACCGGCCCTGATGGAGCATCGGTGCTACGGGATGTACTCTGTCGAAATATAATTGGTCGCTTCACTGGGTGTTAGATATGTCTAGATTCGGACAATGCGATTTACGTACAGGTCTGCCTCGATTATATCCAAGCTTTCAATATCAGGTGGAGTCATTGGTGTAATAGGTGAGATTATTGCTGATGTCTCAATGGAGTAGGGAATGTCACGATATTCAGTCTTCATGACACTGGGGATACATTCTTGAGGTGGGCTGAGCATTTGCGCTGTCTCGTCAGAGTTATATTTCTCGCTGCTGTCCAGCACTTCCTTGGGGTCGGGATTGCCCTGATCACAATTGATTATGCTTTCCAGTGTGGCTAGAAATTGGATTAGCAAAGAAGATATATAAATCATATATTCAACAAACCAATGCGATTGCGCAAAGCCTTGAGATGTCCCTTCTTAGGCCCCCGTGGTGAGCGAACCTGATTTACAAGGCATGTTGTCCCAGAGTCTTCGCACTGATCACATTGAGGCCGTCGTCTATCGCATCGAAGTTTCTTTTTGCGGCATTCCTCGCAAGCCTGAGTGATCAGCGCCAAGCGTCATTTTATGAGCTAGATGGCCATTGTCTCACCAGTCCGGGTTGCTGTCGTGAAGCTGACATATTGAAGAGTGGAACAAAGTGCTGATATTTTGATACCCCTACGTCTCCAGGAAGAACAAAGCTACCCGAAATAATGAGACAGGTATTTGTAGGGGGTATTTATACCCATTAACTAAGACCATTCAGCGCACTCGAGCTAGTGTCGCTCAAGCATCGGCAATTACAAATTAACTGTTTGTTTCGCCAGACACCCTCCCTTGTAGAAAGGTTCTTTCACGATCTTCCACCTCTAGCAATGTGTACTTGTCGAAAGTCCACCCTTGTTCCCCGACAAAGCCCAACAAGGACAACATGCGCATGGTGTGATCAGCACTACATCCTAAATGATCCTATAGTCACGACTCTCTTGCTATTTCGAGGTAGCCAAGATAGTGGGTTGTCAAGGCTAAACGCCTATATATCTTTATAGCTTGGAATAAACTTCTGTCCCTGCGTTGGCTGCACCGTTACCATTTTTATCACGCCATTTGGGTAGTATAGATAAGCTGGATGGTGGTAGAATGTACCAGTCTGTTAGCCATATTTGTCAATTGCTGAGCAGAAGTTGAATGGGCTGTCATTCCGATGTTGGGTTTATTTGCCAAATCGGTTAGTTGCTGATCAAGATTGAGGCTTGGATCCTTAAATTGTTCAAAGTGTGGCAGGTTGTCGTGTGGATATGGTACACCGAATGGCTGCTACATATTGTTGTCAACCGCGGCACATGCAGCACGTGGACAATTATTTGGAATTGGGATTCCAAATAACACCTCCTACAAGGCAAGCTGAACTCGAGCTAGAACTTCTTCTCGGTCTAGTGGAGCCAGGAGTGTAGCACAAAGGAGTTTTGATCCGTGCTTTGCCAAGCCAGAATGTACGGGGCATTAATTGTGTCATTGCCTGGTTTCAGAATGCCTTCAATACCTAGTACGAAGAAGTATATATACAGTGTTTGGTAAAATCGTTATATCTTCCATGACTGAGATACATGCTTAGAGGATATTGTATCTTTATTTGAAACTCATTGACTTTATAAAAGTAAATACACAGGATGGGGATCTAGATCCGTGGCTAGAACTTATCAGCAAATGGGTTGGGTTACAGATAGACCAGGTAGAGCCGAACATCCGGAAATCTCACACATTGACCTGCACCTCGGCGATGTGATAGCTTGAACTCGATCAAAAGAGTTTCTTGTTGTAAACCCAATGGAACCTAGTACATTCCCTTCGCAGCCATAGAAGACAGCACTTGATATCGTTGCAACCAGCAACATCGGCCCATTGTGCCTTCCAGGGGGAAAGCTTGGATGTGACTTAGCCGGGTCGACTGACCATAGTAACAAGAAATATGCGTACATTGTACTCCCTTCGCCCCACATTGCAAATTCAACTCTTCTATTATTGGTTAATAATCCCCTGAAAGAACCACGCGAGACTGTCGCATACACTGGGGGCTACACTAACCAAATATAGTAACTTCAACAGCGTGGCATAAAGATGTAATCATGCCATCCTAGGTAGTAGTTGACAGTTTATTCATTTCAATACACCATTTATCCAGGGGCTGAATTAACCATAAAGGTAATTAAGTGCTAAGCGTTATGGGCTACATCTACATGCATCAGCCTGCCAGACCTCCTGCGTCATCATGCTGCCAGCACCATGACTAGGTGGGGCTTATCTCCAGGGCTGGTACACGGCAGCTACTCACGGCAGCTGGCCAGGGCTGTAAATATTGCGAGATTGCGATATTGATAGGCTCACTATCTCTCCCCGGGCCGAACAAGGTTGTATTGTATTTGGAATTGTTAAACGGTTATAGTGCCTGACCGCCATGTGACTTCCGGAACGCGGCTCTGCTCCCCAACGTGCATCGGAGCAGTAACATAACGCTTACTCATCAGTCATTATTGGGATCTTGACTGGCCAGATTCGGTTTCTGCAGGATCTCCGTCGATATGGAGTGTCCCAATAGGGGTGATCCAGCCACACCATTGCGATTTTGGAGTTCGGTCAAACGGCAAGTTCCAGGGGCAATGAGAGGTGTACCAATTTTCACAAATACTAGGCGTAAAGGGTCCCGTAGCATGTCTGGCTCGAAACAACCAGCAACGAATGCAGTCATCTTATGGCTGATCAACACGGCGACAGACTCAGTTTATATAGCTTTTCAAAACATTATGTCCCATTCTCAGGCGCGGAATTTGGAGGCCAAGCTTGCCACTCGTATCTGATATCTCACCACAGACTGAATAAGTTTTGGGATAACCTCCGATAACCAACGTTTTGAGCCTGCTAGCGCCGGACTGTTGGTAAGTACGCCCGGAGTTACCAAACTGGGGGAAGTTTGGGGTTGCCAAATCTGTTTTTATCGCGTGACGGTAGCCCATGCTACTGATCTATACTTCTGGTCAACCTCGCTGGATGTAAGATTTATTTGCACATCTGATACGTGAAGGAAGTGATAATACATTAATCTCATTCGACAGTGTAAAATAGCTGATCGAAAGGCTCAAGCTCAGGTACAAAGAACTCCGGAAAGGGAATGCTACCATCCAACCAACCATCATGTTGATCTCGCATAATTTCGTCTGCATTAGCCGTGGGGAGGCCCATCGGAAACACAAGGGGACTCGGCTGCGCAGGATTAGATAGAGAAAATCCCCAGTTCTCATCAACATTTCGACCATCATAGTCATCTGGTTGGCCAAGATCATTCCTGTGGGTTGGCGGCTCAAAAGTCAGAATTCGGTCCATGTAGTGTTGAACAGTGTAATGCGTCTCGTCAGACACACGTTGGCGGTATTTGGTAATAGCCTCGGCGAAGTCGGTGAGCATGTTATAGTAGAGTTGGGCTTGTGGGCTTGCTAAAGCGATGTCACCCAGGATATCTTGAGCATCTGCGAAAGCTGCCTGAATGTCTTTTCGAGGTTCGCCCGCGAACATTGAAAATCCGAGAACCAGACCTGCGCCAAATATCCATGCTCTGTTAAAACCCACTGTTAGCTTAAATGTCCAAGTCATTTTTATCCCAGTCTGTTGGAAAGCTGAAGTCACATACTCAAGGAGACAGAGGTTCCCGAAACTAAAATTCAAAGCTTTTGCTTTGACACACATCTCAACCATTGTGATAGCTGAGCTGACACAAACTTGAGCTAACCTTGACACTTTGTTATTTTTGATGTTGATATCCGATGCTTCGTCGGGGTCACTGATGAGGTGATCCGGAGCTTTGCCACGAAGTCTAGACATCAGGTAGGCGACAAGGAATGGTCGAGTAATCAGTATCACTGCGAAATAATACACGCATGAGACATGTATGCTCCCAAGAAGCCCTCGTCGATTTTCTGCATCGAGAGGTCGATTAGTTCCAGGAGGACACACAAATCGTCGTATATTCTGAGGCAATCCCCGGCTCCATTGGCGGAGCCTTTCAAGCACGGTTTCTGCAGTGGGGACGTGAAGTATATTATTACTTTTTCCAAGCGTGTCGACGGTTTCTTCCAGAAGAATGCATGCCCTCGCCATGGCCGTAAAGAGAGACTGTGCATTATGGTTATCCCCACTAAATAGCGCGGTATCACTTATGTTCTGGCGTATCACTGGTGAACTTCTGAGTCTGCCGTGAAGAAAGCTGCTTAAAACATCAAGATTCTGAACACTGTTCCATACCCGGAATCTAGAAAGGCGTTTTAGTATCCTCGGTGGGTTTGAAGACGGAAATATGAATGAAGCTCTCACCTGGTGGACTGCTCTTCTTCGGAGAGGTCTGTGTCATTCTCCGAGCTATGAAGCCCTAGTATAACAGCAGCCTTGGCTGCAATCGTGAGGAACATCGATGCTGCATTTCGATTACAGGCACCAAGTGTGTAGAATGCCAAAAGAACAAAATGTCGCACTGTGTTGAGGTTTTGTGACATCAGCATGCCGTCGAAAGCAATTTCGCGGGCGCGAAGAAAATAAGCCTTCGAAAGTTGCAAATCTTCGGCCTGGCCTCGAACTTGAGCACCAATCGCGAGAGCAAGATTGAAAGCAGCTTCTATGTCGACTTTCGAAGAATATTGAGCGGTGCCATTCTCTGATGATGTTCTCTCGACCATAAGCCTGTCTAGCTCGTCTGGGGTGAACAAATCCAACACGCCACTGGTCTGGAATAAATGTTAATTTTGAAATGTGCATTTTCATTCACTAATTGATTCACGTACTGCCTCGAGATAAGAACTGAGCAGCAAGTATGCCTGTTCTGGCGATGGATGCGGGGGACTCATTTCTGAAGTAGGCGATTGTGGTTCAATGGCGACATGGTGTCGCTCCTCATCAGTGAAGGGAACCGATCCAATGTAGCCTTTTATCGTTCTTCTCAAGAAATGAAGAAATGAGCGTGAAGATGTTTCTCCCACATACACTAGAAAGAATGGTGGTCAGCGCGTTGATAAGTGGCATGCTATGAAACAATATCCTAACATTTTTCACGAGTTTCTGATCGGGAAGTTACCCGGCTAGCTGCCGTAGGGATACTTAGATCTTCGCTGCAGCTAGGAGCAGTAGTGGGTGGATTCACATAAGATGAAGCCCTGATTGGGACAGCATAGTCATTCGGGGATGTCGGGGAACTCGCAACTACATTAGACGGCAACGATGCGTCCGAATTGGAACGGACATGAAAACCATCGCCTTTCACTTTCCGTCGACGATCAACTCCGGAATATACGCATGTACTGGCCTGGTCGCGTCTAACGCATGACCCGCAGGGGCGCTGTGCATCGCATCTTATCTTTGAGGATTTGCACGCGACACAAGCGCGATAAGATCTTTGGCGGTTTTCGGGGCGTACTTTAGGCCGTGGCATTGAGAAAATGGCTCATAGAGATGTTTAGGAAGAAAATTAAGCTTGATTGAAAGGGTTTACAGAGACAGAATCAGTGAAATTGGAAGCAAAAGTGCGGGGAATGGTAATCGGAGCGGAGCTGATACGTCCTCCTTATCTCAGGCTTTCTCTTGGGCCCCGGGGGAGCTCGGAAGAAACTGTCCAGCCCTGTGGTGGAGGAATACGAGACATTGGTGAGCAAATGAGGAAACTCAAGATCTGATCGCATTGTGGAGGTGAAATTTTAATAAATTAGGGTTTTCCTTCTTTTTTATTTCAACCTAAATGAATTCCATGTGCATTATGTGGCTCATATAGCAAATATATACGACACTTGCTCAAAAATACTCTTTGTAAAATATTCCTAACACTCTTCTTTGAAGTAACACTACATTTCTCGTGCTTTCAAATCAATCAAACATAACCTCTTAGGCCTTGATTGCCGCCTGTTGGCTAAAGTTTCTAGCCACAGACTGGGCAAACCACTCTCCCACAGTCATCGGGGGGGCTGGAACAAGAGTTAGTCAAGTCCAGTCACAAAGGGAAATGGAAGCGGTGACGTACTATTTCTTCAATGGGCCCTGCAGCAAAATGTCACGCCTAGCTTGGTTGAAATATGCAATTGAGTATCTAGAAGGTGACTTTCCAACATCCTTGGCGCGTACTCGGTGATAGTTGGATTTCAAGCGATCATCCGACCAAGCCACTAAAGATTATGTTAGATACTGACGACTGGAATGGGAAGACGAGCAATTTGTCCTCTTATAATACGTACTGAGCATGTCGCCAATGTTGACAACAATGGGTCCGGTCTCGGCAGGAAGGGGTGTGAAGACATCGCCGCTAGCAAAGCTAGAATGGGTCTCTCTGCCTGGGCAAATTTCCAGTCCATCTTCTCCATCTCGCTGGAATAGAAGTGTGAGACAGCCGATATCGGTATGGCTTCCCGCTCTCCAGGTGCCGACGGCATTTTCAGATGCGGGATAGTGAATCAGGCGGAGCTGCGTCAGACAGTCGGCTTGGTTTGGATCGTTCGCGGTCCTGAAATAATCCTCCCCAAATCCGAGGGCAATGGCGAAACAAGACACTTAACTCCATGTTAGTCGCAATCTGGGTAACAATCCTTTCGTTATTTTCAGGTTGAAAGGCAAACATACAAACTTGGTCTGAAATACCAGCACACTTAGTCATGAATTGAGTCGTGGATTCCCTAAATTGGGGAACATCACCATCACTTGGCCATTCCGAGTTACGCTGCAGCCAAAGGGATTCCTTCTGGTCGTAGGTGCCAGTGCTGGCGCGCAATTGAGCCTATATAGTAAAATCAATATGACATTCACTTCTCCAGTAAGCCAGTGTCCACCCACCTTGTACTCCCACCCATTATTGGTTTTGGGGTTATGAGGTGTCTTAGCTTTGTCCTCAGCCGGGAGGTCAAAGAATGCCTTTGAAATGGCAAACTGGGCTTCGATCTCCTCCTTTGAGATACCGTGGTCTACCAAGGTAAAGAATCCAGCATTCTCCGCCGCATTGAGTAGCTGCACAATGATTTCCTCTTTGCGTTTATCAAAGTCTTGAAACTCTATTAGTAGACTATTGCGATTTCAACTACTGACTGTGCTCACCTTTGAGGGAGATAACAGGAACAATTCTTTCCGCCATATCTGTTCACTTTGAAGATTGGGTTCTCGATCGTAGTGGGCGTTTTTAGTGTTTTCCTGATTTCTGTGGTAATTTCCATTCGCCTTTTCTAGCCATGGAGTGCTTGTTTATCAATTCTATCGGATGAAGCTTACTGTCGGAAATGTACCGTTCTAAGAGAAACATGAATAATTGACTCGGATCGGGTGGGATTCCCCTCATCTTACAGCAAATGGGATATCAAGATATTACAAACTAATTTGTCGGGTGAGAAACAAAGTTTAGACAAGAAAAGTGGAATAGCCGAATGGTGTCCAATCTAAGCCGTTTATTCAATCTCCTTATCTTCCATGTGCTCGGAAATGTACCCCACATACTATCAGCTCCGGGAGTGCACGATATGAGTTTATCCTTATTCAAGATGCCCAGAGGTACAATCAGCGTTGACATCAGAGCCATTGAAATATTGCCTATTAGTAAAGCCATCGTTCTGCTGTTCAGTTTGACACAGCATCATGACTGAGTACGATATGAAATCGGCGAAGGTAAAAATTAGACAACACTCCTATGCCTGTTTGGAAAAAAAGAGGCGACCGCTGACAGTAACATGCTAGATGGAGGACACCAAGCTTGAGGGCGCGGGCGAGCAACTCCCTGGTAAATACATTGAAACGGCAAGCAGAGACAAAGCTCTGAATTTGCTTGCGAATCGCCACACTACCTTTGACCCCAACTCACCAGAGGCAAGACGGGTCAGATGGAAGATCGACATGCGAATTATGCCGATGATCTTCGTCGTATACTGCCTTCAACTCATGGACAAAAATAGTCTGTCGTTCGCTGCGATTATGGGCATCAAGCAAGAAACCAATCTTTCATCTGCAGAGTATTCTTGGCTTGGATCACTTGTTTAGTAAGATGACATTTAATAATCAAGTGTCGCAAAATATGTGAACTGACAAAAATATTTCCCTAGCTTTGGATATCTCGGGGGTGATATCCCGGCGACATACCTTATGCAACGGTTCCCTCTGTCTAAATATCTCGCTGTCATGTGTATGGTATGGGGAGTTATCGTCGCGTTACATGCAGTCTGCCATGACTTTTCTAGTCTAGCTGCAGTGCGATTTTTCCTGGGTGCCATTGAAGTCTCAACAGTGCCTGTAGCTATATACATCACTGGCGCATTTTATACAAAGGAAGAGCAACTCACACGAGTGGCATTGTGGTACACTACATCCGGCTGGGCAGCTATCTTCGGTGGCTTCCTTGCATGGTGCATGTATCATGCTGAGAACTTCCGCTGGCAAGGTCTGTTCGTTTTATATGGCGCCATGACATTTGCGACTGGAGTTTTCCTCTTCTTTTTCCTTGCCTCGTCTCCGACAGATGCCAAGTGGCTGACGGAAGAGGAAAAAATAATTGCCCTCGAACGCGTTCGGGGAAATAAAACAGGCACTGAAGTTTGGAACTTTAGCTGGCCTCAGCTTCGAGAGGCGCTCCTCGACGTTCGCCTATACCTGCTATTTTTCATGTTGGTCTCGACTGGAATGCCTAATGGCGGCTTGACTGCCTTCGGTATGTAGAGCAATCTACAGCTCACCTGTCATTTCCAACCAATTATACTGAACTGACATTTCGTATAGGCCCAACTATTGTGGATGGCTTTGGCTATGATGTCCCTACTACCCAACTTTTGAATATGGGCTCCGGTGCGGCTCAGGTTGTTGGCACTTTCCTTGCTCTCTACCTTGCCAAATGGACCAATCGTACCTTTGCTGGTATATGCACACTTTTGCTTGCATGTGTCGGTTGCGCTATGATGCTTGGAATTCCGAGCTCCAATAACAGTGCTCGGTATGGCGGATATGTCCTGGTCTATCAATGTTCGTGGCCCATACTTCTAATCTCCACTACCCTTACACCAGCAGCGATATACTGACAGTAACAGTCCCAATCTGTATTCTTTTTATCATCACCTTTTTAACTGCAGGTGTGGCTGGTTCGACAAAGAAGTTCGCTTTCGGCTGTGTCTATCAATTGGGATATGCTGTTGGCAACATCATTGGCCCCCAAACTTACAGGGCCAACGATGCACCAAATTATTATGTGGGTACATCGAATCTTTTGCGTTTGTATTGTGTTAATATGATTATTTTCCAGACCGCAAAATACACTATGCTTGCATTTTTCGTTGTCACTGCGGTTTTGATCGGCATTTACGGCTGGATCCATCACACCTGGAACCAGAAGAGAGAGAAGGAAATTTCCACTCAGCCACAAGGTAATCAACCTTCGTTGATAGTATTTATCATTCAGGAAAACAGTTTGGCTGATTTATTACTTGTTAGACCCAGCCGACACTACGGAGAACGAAGAATTTGCCGACTTCACTGACTTCCAGTTGAAGTCCTTCCGGTATCCGATTTAGGCTCTATATTGATATGCACAGATCTTAGGGGATCGGAATCAGCTGTTACTCAAAGTTTTCAAGAAATCTATACTTTTCATTTTGTTCGTTTTTGGTTGGAGATATGGCAGGAATTGTTTGTCCAAATGTTATGTACACAATATTCAGATAGCATGCAATGGAGATTAATAATCAAAATGTGTTGACTTGATCCTATCTTAGCTGCTTGTCTGTTCGCTGATTCTGTCGGCTGTAAGAGTTGTTGTACATGCAGGTATGAAGCCATACATGTTTGTTTGCAGACTGGACGACCTTCGGATGGAGTTTGATGAATATGGTGTTTAAACCCTCAATTATCAGTTTTTACAATTAAACAACTTCTTATTCTTCTTCTACTATTTTTACTATACGTAGTACTCGACTACAACACGAGTCAAACAGCGATATCCTATGTTTGGTAGGAGGGTTTGTGAAAGGCGGCAGATATAGGAAAGTAACACATGCCTTCCCCTCTACGGCCTCTCTTACCACAGCTTGTTACCAAGCTTCGTCTTAGTCACGTCAAAGGTGTCGGGGTGGCCTAAGGCCACATAGGTGGTGTTTTAGGCGCCAACCCCACGCGGGTATTAGTAGTCGGTAGATATAGCTCAGTAGCAATGAACCCTCTCCCTCCCCACTTCTGGTCTCATACTATTAGTAGATGCCTAAACAAGAGGGAAGATGGCAAAAATGATTAGGAGAGCATTGGTCATACGCCAAAGAAATGCGAATAAATCCAAGAAGATTGGTTTTATTTAAATATATCTGATATATAGGTTACGGGCTCACATTTTCTGCCCGCTAGCTCCAATTTATGTACATTATAGTCGTTCTTTCGGCCCTGCTTCGATCCTTATTAGTGCACCTAGCCACAAATGAGTGATTGCACCTGGAGCTTACTATTTCCTTCCTGTAACCCCACACATGACTGAATAAAGCTGACCAGATGGTCACCTTGTACGGTGTCCTCTGTCCCAATTGACAAAATATTGCTATAGTAGAGGAAACTTTTAGATGCTGGAACTTAATAAGATAGATTAGGTTGAATTGAATCTCACCTTAGATGGTTGTGCCTTTTCAGCACATGGAACACAGGGAGTGTCCCAGAAGGTTTGCTTCGTGATCTGTATGCATTGAAAAACTTCATGGTTGCGTCGATTGTTTCCGGTCTACCATTGGTGTAATTATAAGCAAAAGAATTCTTTAGAGAGGACATGCTTGTACTTACACTTCCCACTCGACGGATCCCAAGTACACGGGTATCTTCTGAGAGTTTCTATGAAAGCGTAATCTTGGTTAAATGGGTTATTTCAAAAGATATTCACAACACTTACAGTAGTGGTGAGTCGTCGGGTAATCTTTCAAATAACCCCAAAGCAGATTTCGGCTGCCAATAAGCGTCAGCAATCTGGATTATTTGGATACGCGTCCAAAGGCACGGATTGATATTACCCCCCAGACATCTTCAGCATCAGATCCATAATAGGAACGAATGGTCTTTTGGCGGACTGGCTTCGTCCGGTCATACCAAAATGGCACACTAAGATACATCACTCCGGCCACTGGAGGAAAAAGAGGGGACTGAGAGGCGCGTTCCGGATCGCCTGTTTATTTTAGTTTAATATCGAAGGTTGTCGTAGAAATAGGATTTTCTTACCGGCAGCATAAAGGTTCATCGCGATATGCGCACCGCCAGACGAGTGACCAAACAGTATAACCTTATCGACCGACCCACAACCATATTTAGTAGAGGAGATATGATTGAAAATCCATTCGCGCGCCAACTGTATATCATCTGCACCTCCAGGGTACTGCACGTGTGGCACAAGACGATGGTTTATCACCACCGTGATGATGCCCCGTTGAGCGAAAAACCACCCAATATTGGAATAGACCTGCTCGGTCCACAATTTATCTCCAGAGAAGAATCCTCCTCCGTGGACATACATCATGACTGGTCGGTTTGATTCATTTCCATGTGGCACAAAGACATCCAAGAGGTTTCTGTCCGAAGGTCCATATCGCTCATCACGGATGACCGTTACATTCTGTGGTGGCTCGGGATACAAAGGGTCATATAGCTTGCGCCAAATCTATTGAATAATATCAGTATTATAACTGAAAACAATTGAGAGCAGGCTAGTTTCACTTACCTCTTCGTCGCCAAGTTGAAATTTTGAAGTCTCTTCCGCGATCTTAGCAAAAACCGTATCCATGCGATTGGGCGACATAGTGTTGAGTTTGAAAATTGCAAACGTACGGATACTGTAGATAATGATCCAATACACAGAGAGGGGAAAATAAACCACTTGAACTGAAATTGGATATCTTCAGTCACTCCGTGCTCTTCGGCAACAGAGGAACATAGCCGGATAAGCTGAGGCCCATAGCCGAGATCGCTCGAATCGGAAGGATATGTACTTACAGTTAAGTAATGTCATAGCCGATAAGCGGGGAAGGCCATTATAGTCTTCGAACCTTTGATCTATTAAACCTTGAGGCTGCTTAAGGTTAATTTTTGCTATTGGTTGAACCTGGGGTAAATACTCTACACTACGCTACACCCTCACGTGCCAAGAGAGATTCCTCATTCCCTCCTCTCATTCATTATGAAGCTCGATAGGTAAAACCACCTGTGCCATTACTATGCTCAAATTGTAAACTTCTTGTGATACTAATATTGACCAGATCCGAGGTTGCAAAGCATACCACCATCAATAACTGTTGGGTAATCATCAACGATAATGTTTATGATGTTTCAGAGTTTCTCAAGAAGCATCCTGGAGGAGCAAAAATCATTCTTGCACATGCAGGTCGTGATGCCACGAAAGCATTTGAATCCTTTCATCAAGCAGAGATAATCGATCAGAACCTTGGCCCAGAGTACACACACCCCCTCTGATGCACTCAATGCCAACAGCCTAACTAATTAAAACCAAAGTAAAATCCTAGGCACCGTCACCCAAGACGACTCTGCCACCAGCCAATCTGACGCAATGATTGAGCCACCTCGGCCAAAGCCTAAGCTATCATCTGTCATTAGTCTTTCTGACTTCGAACATGCGGCTTCAAAGAGTCTTCCCGGCAGTTCATTTGCATGTAAGCACTGCTCCCATCATAAATTAGGATTTCCATTCTCTGACAAGCCATACTAGTCCTAAAATCTGGCGCCGAGGATGAGTATGCATCCAACTGGAATCGTGATAGCTGGAAAGCACTTCGATTCCGCCCGCGTGTCCTACGACCAATTGACAGTGTTGATATCTCATGTACTCTTTTGGGCACTAAGCTTTCAGCACCTTTCTTCATTTGCCCAGCAGGCGGTGCAAAGCTAGCCAACACCAAGGGCGACCTGTGTTTAGTCAAAGCTGCTGCTCGTCATGGAATCCTACACTGGGTTTGTAACAATTCGGCCATTTCTCAGCAAGATATGGCCAATGCACGTGCGCCAGATCAAACTTTATATTGGCAGATATATCCCATGACTGATTTGGAAGTTACTGAAAAGCAAATCAAGGAGGCTGTCAGACTAGGATACAAGGGTTTCGCATTGACTGTTGATGCAATCCGAGCCGGAAAGCGAGAACGGGATTTACGGATGGCGATTGTGGATACAGAGGAAGATGAAGGCGATGACCTGGAAGCCGAAGAGAGCTTTGCAAAGGAGCCAAGTGTGCAGCGACCGTAAATGATTCCTACCCCCATTTGTGGAATGTTCGTGAAACTAATATACCTATAGACCCGTCTGGTCGAGTTTCGACTGGAAGTCTTCTATCGAGTGGCTCCGGAAAATGACGAATCTACCTATTGCCATCAAGGGTATTCAATGTTGGGAGGATGCATTGTTATGCATGGAATATGGAGTCCACCCGTGGCTCTCTAACCACGGTGGTCGTCAATTGGACTCAGCACCATCTGCCATGGACACTCTTTTGTCCATCCGAAAGAATTGCCCTGAGGTCTTCGACAAATGTGAGGTCATCGTCGATGGTGGTGTTACCCGAGGCTCCGATGTAGTCAAGGCTCTTGCACTCGGAGCAAAGGGCGTTGGCCTTGGAAGGCCATTCTTGTACTCTCTCGTATTTGGCGAGGCTGGAGCAAGCAAAGCTATCCGAATTTTGAAGCATGAGATTGAGACTACCATGGCATTGTTGGGCGTTACATCCCTTGATCAATTAAATCCGTCTTATGTGAGTGATGAATTTCTGAAATCAACTATTACAGAAGAGTGGAAGCTAATGTTGGTGCTATCACAGGTTGAAACTTCGTCACTATATTCATATGCACGATCAGTCTTGTGATTTATGTTACTCTAGTCAATAAAACCCCTCTTTGGTGAAGATATATTCTGTGTATTTTACAATAAGCCTTTTTTCAAAGTGTGAAAAGTGATCATCGGATTTTCCCATCATCCAGTTTAATCTGTAATATTAGGAGTTGTGAAGTCCCCCAGATGATCCGATTTATTACAATGGTCTAGGGCGATATACTGTATTCATATATGCAGCATTGTATTCTCTCTCCACCTAGCACCTCCTTCTGAACTATTCGATACATGCTTTCAACGCCCAAGTCTTACAATCAAGGATTTAGCGACCTCCTCGGTCTTTCAAATGACCCAAAATATGACAGCCCTTTTACATACGTTTAGGTACATATTATTAGTATCTGAGGTTGGGTGTTCGGACTGTCTTCATAACATTACCTCAATATTCATGAATGAAGTAGGAAAGTGGCTCATATCTAGACCACATATATCAAGAAGCCATTTTCCACCATATAAATCTCGATAGCGTGTTATTCTTTGTCATTCTCAGTTGTCACCACATATTATCCGTGGACATGTGCTATCTTCTAACTATCCTCTGTATCTTCTATCGCTACTACGTGCCGGATAGGGAAAGGGCCGGGGTTCGGCCATCGGCCCGAGTGCCCGAGTGCCCGAACTTAGGAAACACCATTGACCTTGCTATGATGATTATATATATTCCTGTCCTATCTACTTCGTATGATTTAAAAAATTAAAAATGTCGCACTCTCATTGCACTGTCATAAGTCTACTTCTAAGGGCGCGATTGTATATCGGTACCCCGAGGTTTAGTCAACTACGTTCATTTTGTTCTCACACGAATACTTCTCGCCCTCATCAGCGACCGTGGCCCATACTCGATGCCTCGAGTTCTTTAAAAAAGCATACGATCCTCTCTCTATCCCAGACACAATGAATACTATGGCTCAGGAGCCTTATGTCAATCGTTACTCAAAGATAAAAGTGAGTGAGATGCATTTGACTAAACACTATAAACCACACACCAAAAGCCCTCCCTAAATATCGGTCACTATCAACCACTCAGACTGTGTGCAATTTCCTACAAGATATTAGCCGAGTTAGCTTCAGATGACGGGGGTAATCGACTCACAAGGGGCAGGTTGCGCGAGGAAGCGCCGACATAGAACTTGACAGTTTCACCTTTCGGGAACCGCCATTTCTGTTCTGTCACGTCCCAGATCATAACATCCTTCCGGCGGATACTGCAAGATACAAGTTAGTTCAATACCAAGTATCTCTGATCTTGTATTCTTACGGGAATGATGCCTTCCGACGATGGCCAGGTTCCATATTCTTGATCTTCGTGAAACCTCGAAGCTGTTTCGGAGGTTCCTCTTCGCTCTCGGGGAACTCCACGTACTGCGATGTGGTGAGTATCTAAGCATGCGTTATAGGGGGCTATAAACTTACCAGTTGGGCTACCTCGGAGCCAGTATGCTTTCCAGTATTAGTGATATCAGCTGTCACCGTAGCAATAACATCGTAAATAGATTGGCCAGCGGTTTGACCGACGAACTCTTCGTTGGTGGCCTGGATAGAGTGTTTATCCGGAGATTCCTTCGAATCGATGTTGATGTTGGAGTACTTAAATGCAGTGTAAGACAGACCAAAGCCAAATTCTGCTCAGTCAGTATAATGCTCATAGCATTCAAACACATGATAGAAAGTCGACTCACCAAAGCGAGGGGTAATGTTGTACGTATCAAACCACCGATAGTCTATCTTCAGCTTTTCAGTAAAGTCTGCCTGGGGTGCAATGCTGTGATCTTCCGATATGGTGTGTGGAGGATAATCTGACTCGCTTTTGCCCACTATATATGGTCAGATGAAATGTGCACATAGAGCAATTTGATGACATTCATACCTGTAAAGGGCAACTTGGCACTTGGAGAAACATCACCCCAGAGAATATCAACCAAGCCAGGTCCCGTTTGCTCGCCAGGATAGAGAGGAGCAAGCACAGCAGTTACATTGGGGTTGTCGATCCAGGCTTCCATGATCACCGGGCCGCCAACATGAAGCACCACAATCGTGTTGTTGCAATTGGCCGCGGTTTCCAGAATAATATCTTCCGACCGTGTCCAGTTTCCGATGTTCAGGCCAAGATCGTTGCGATCCATATTCTCCCGTTGATATCTGTCGGCGAAGACAAGGCAAACATCGGGAGGAGTTATCGCAAGCCCATTGCCAGTCAAGGTGTCATATACTAGATCCTCAGCAGTATTATCAATCACATATTGGAGGAAAGTGTTGGTTTCTCGTGCTTTGGCTTGGATTGCCTCCAGGGGTGTGACCAGGTTGATTGCCCAAGTGTATCCAGATCCGCCACCAAGGCTAAGTGTTCCGTTATTCTGCAGGATGCCACAGTTACGGTATAATGCACCACACCCTTGGATACCAAGAGGATTCGGTCCCGCATCTTGGCCAATGATTGCAATGTTCCGAGGGCTGCGGAGAGGCAGTGCGCCAGTATTTTTCAGCATAACAGTTCCATCAGCAGAGATCTTCCGCGCTATTTCAACGGCTGATAACGTCTTTCCATCAACCTCAGCAGATGCAGTAACCGGGCGGTTGATCATCCCTGGAATTGTGGTGATAGTGGATGGAAGAGGTTTGTCGATCTGACCCGACACGATAAATGGAATGAGCATTCGAGTAACCATATCATCTAAGCGAGCTTGTTTGATTGTTCCATTCTGGACCATATTGTAGAGCTCCTTGTCGTAGAATTTCCCAAGAATGCTACCAAAGCCCGAGCCTGGCATATTAGCGTCGAGTCCGCCTTCAACAAATCCTTGGGTTCCCCAGGTGGCTTAATCGGGTAAGTCAGTTTCTTTTTCTTGGAATACTAGGATTTACTCACCTCCCCAATCACTGACGAGAGCCCCTTGGAAATTCAATTCCGTCTTCAACAGCTTGTTATTAGACTCGGAATTGGCACACGAATGAGTCCCGTTGACAGCATTATACCCGCACATGATATGTGTTACACCAGCACGAATAGCCTCGGCAAATGACCACATGTATATCTCGTGGGTTGTCTTATCGTCGATGTTGCTGGAGATAGGGACCTGTTCAGATGCGTTGTAGATGCTATATGGTTCTGTGAAATTGAACGGGTTCCTTTGTGGTATTAGTGTAACAAACTTCAAACAGGAGAATGCTGAGAACAATACCTGTAAGTCTCCTGTTCGTATCCAATGAAATGCTTTGCTAGGGTCTGGACACCCGAGTCTCGCATGCCTTTAACGCCATGCCAAGATGCGATTCCGGTACCATACGGATCAGCATACCTACCATAAAACATTAGCTTAGGAATATCTCACTGGGAATAGTAACCTACCATCCTTCCCAGTTCCGACCACCTCTCGGAGAACGGCCAAGCGGTCCACCTTGTGAAATTAGCAACTGGCATTGCAACCAAGGAGGAACGTGACTGTCGCACTCACCAGTAATGATACCCATAGCCACGTGGATTCCCAGGTCGTAGAATTCTTTACCCATGGCCAAGGACCTTGCGTAAATCAAATCCACATCCCAGGTAGCAGCTGTAGTCACACCGGAAGGAAATTGGATAGTTCCAGGTCGAGGTCCTGCAGGACCATCCTGAAAACACATCTGTGGAATTCCAAGCCGTGTGATGTTTCCTGTTTGACCTGCACAATCTCCTTCCTGGCCAGTTACAAGGTCCACCTTATCTTGTAATGTCATTTGGGCAATCAGCCCTTGTGCACGTGAATGGGCTGCCTTCCATGCCTTTCCCCCATCTCCGGCAGGAGGCGGAACGACATAGGACAAGCCCGTTGCAGCCGGTGCCAATGCACTACATGGAAAGGCCAACGAGAGGCATGTCGATACGAACAGCGATATTTTGACCATCGCGCAATGACATGTAGATTCGGGATACTGCGACAGAAAGTTCTGATGGTGTTTTAAGGACTTTTTAGCTACTAGACCTCACGGTGAAGCTCATTACTTATAGCTACTAGACTTTATCTCTTTCGGTCGATTCTCTATCCAATGCAGAATGGTAGAAACCCTAAAAGAAGCTTCATTTAATTAAATAAACCTTGATTCATAAGCCCGTTACTTTTGCCGAGATAGGTAAGATAGCCTATCCTGGCGTATCTATGATGATCTTGCATTCATTGATTACATACTGCCTTTCGGAATTGTTGCACTCTACCTTTCTTACAGCGAAATAATTCGTAGAACTAATATTCAGTATATATTATTGCGATTTTATATTTAGAGGTGAGTAATGTAATGCGTACCTAGGTAGACGAGGCACTTGTGCGGGGTAATACAGATATTACGATGCACTACAGGGGTCTTGCCGAAACGGTGGATAGCCGACAGGTACATGAGTACATTTCCGATACCTATATATGTATGTATGGTTTGAAATGTATTTATGGAAAGTTCAGCCACCTAATTCATCATGTTTATCACCTCCATAGTTATCATCGCCGATGCTATAACACTCTCGGATATTGTAAGACGCTAAGTAGTGTCTCGGGTTATAGCGTGTAAAGAAATCCTTTAGATGAATGCCTATCATGCTCGCTTATCTTCTAATGTGGCATAGATGGATTGGATTTGTCGGCAACTCTAAGGTATATTTCAGCCCTTGCAAATTATATTCATCGGCACCACCTCATACCCAGCCTAGGGCACTTCCATATCAGGCTATAACAATCCGGGGCAATAATGCCTGCGTAAATTTCCAAAGAACCCCTCCGTTATGAGAGATAATTGCAGCGCCAGTGTACCAAGTGCTATGTTTCCCCTATAGCGCATATAGGTCACGGTAGAAACCATCTCGGATAGCCTGGGCTGACGCACCCAGCTTGAAAGGCGTGTGAGATTTGAATTTTATAAAGCTGGGGGTTGTAATTGTAAAGTTCTGTGCTTTCTGTAGGTTCTGAATGGCCCGAATAGCCGCTTGCTCGACTGCCAACTGCGTCATATGTGACGGGCTACGGTACCAGACGTAGAATACTTCTGGAATTCGGGTGCGCGCAATCCCAGAAGCTCCTGGTTACTGAGGAATGTGGTATGTCGCAAATGAGTCGTTCACGTTGATCCACTGGCATCCTTCAGATCAGCCGGTATTATTGACTACCAGGGTACTATATAGTACCCCATAGAGGTCCACTGCGAGAAAATTTGAAGTTCCTCTAGGTTCAAGTTAAACGGCCTCATATTGTCTAAAGTTGGGGAAACGGTAATTAGAAGCTTGGACGCTTCAACGAGTTTAGATCCCATGGGCGTCTTGACGACCATTGAGATGCCTCGGCCTTCTTGTGGCCTTGCAGCAGCCGTCACAGTCGAGGAGACCAAGGCATTTAATCCCAGTTCGGTAAGAGCCTTGGTATATATCTCAGAGTTGCTGTTATTCGCGGTTCTGAGCACAGCACCTAATACTTCACGCAGGTGTGCAGGGTCTACCATCTTCATCACGTTGACTGTTGACTGCTGTAGTGGATTTGAAATTCCCTGGGAGCCGAAAGAAAGGTTGAAAGCAGCATCGGAGAAGTCATATTTGAAAGAAAGTGTCCCAGTGGCTGGAGCAGATCTGAAGCAATAGGCTGCAGGATTTTCCAGGTATAATCCAGCCACGACAACATCGGAGAATATTACATCTACTTTTGCATAATTCTCGGGGTCAAACACATTGGTAGGGACTGCCACGACCATCCAACACGCGATTACGGGCAGGAATTCTCACAAATACATCATTCGAGAACCACCTCATCGTATTCAATTGATGTCAATATGTTCCAATTGCTCAGCATTCGAACATTAATAGCATGCATGGCCTACCTATGTTAACGTGAAGAAGGTTGTTCAGAATTCAGAATGATGTCTCGGTGTCACCCATACCTCCCGATGGGGTATATATGTATATTTCACTAATTGAGTTGTTCATGTGGGATTCTGCGCAGACTTATCATTCGCCGGCACAATTGCTTTTTAGTCAGACACTCATTTGTCATATTAGCCTTTTCTAGCCCATGACTGAATGCGTTTCTATGAAGTCACACATTTTCCTCTCCCTTCTTTCGAGGTAATATATTTTTTAGCAAACCCGGCAAGAAATAGCGCTTCTAGCCTCCATCACGCTTCTTATATGTATTACCCGAAGATCTAACAGCATACCGACCTCGGGAAGTGGGGCCGGCAAATAGGCTCATGGGCCGATGGTCTGCAGGTGGATCCGCATATACAACCTTCCAAGGTTAGAACGTTGCAAAGAGTTCCAAGGTTGTCAAGACTGAACAGTCTGGAGGTTAATGTTGAATGTGAGAGAGACGAGTACGGGTATGCGGGGAAGGAGCGTAGTTATGCTTTAGGGAAGTCACCATCGATCTCAACTCATTGCGGTCCCCAGATCCCGACACTTATCCCAACTCCAAACCTTCCAAGAATGCACCACAGGTCTTCTCTGCCCCGCACACAAAATTTCTTCTACACCAGCATCTAACAAGGCAAGCATGAAGGTCATCATAGCTGGCGCAACCGGCCTCTTGGGTGCCGAGATCGTAAGGCAAAGCTTGCAGATCCCCGAGATCACTCAGGTGGTTGCTTTGGCTCACGAGACGGTGCACCTTGACGAAAGTATCGACTCATCAAAGGTGAGAAGCGTTGTGATTGACAATTATGGCGAATACCCTGACGACGTGACGGCGGAGTTTGCCGGGGCTGACGCTTGTATTTGGTATGTTTCAACACCCTTGTTGTCTTCTAAAGGGTGACAATAACATTGTGGTACTCTAGGACTGTGACCCTCACACCCCTCGAACCCGGCGTTGACTTTGCTGAGGTCAAGCGCGTATGCCATGACTACACCAAGCTCGGGTTTGAGGCCATGTGCGAGGCTGGACCAGCGCGTCCCTTTCGCTTCATATACCTAAGTGCGGAGGGAACACCTCAAGAGCCAACAAAGGATCCAGTAATCCTACCAGACTTCTTCCTCATGCGGGTAATAATCGGATCCCTATAATTTTTTGTGGATCGTACACTGATTTGTCTTTTGGTTAGCGCAATACAGAGCTCATGGTTCAAAAGTTTCCCCGGGGAAAGCAAGGAGTTGAGGTTTGCATCGCTCGGCCTGGTGTTATTGCTAACTCCACGACTTGGTCAAACACCTTGGTGGCCAAACTTTTCGTATCATCAATCGATTTGGACGGACCCTTCCAACTATACAACGAAGTGAACTCGCAGCGGCAGTGCTAAACCAGGCCATGGATGGATTAGAGAAGAGAACTCTCCTGAACGCTGATCTCGTTCGACTGGGCCGAAGGGAGCTGAAATTTCGCAGTATGCCTCGGCTTTCATAAATCATTCCTGGGAAAGATCAATCACTTCAGCAGGGATCGGAGTGGGCCTCCCCTTTACCGGGAGGCTCAACTTGCATTGATAGAGTGTGACTTTGTCTCTACCTTTTGTGGCTTGAAGTATCACTATTCCCTACCCCAAAGGAGGCGTTAGTGGCAACCCACACGGCCAATCCTTTCCTATCGCGGTTGGTCTCGTTTTGGAGAGCACAACCTATTATGAGGTATGGAGGCTCTAATCGAACCTAATTGTTCCGCGATTTATCTACTCCTTGTACCTAGACATACCCAGAGCATAAGTAAACAAGTGGACGTATTTTATGAACTCACCACGAGTGGCCAATCCTGATCCAATGGTATTTGAGGCAAATCTCCCTGGAGATGGAATTTGATGACAGTATTAGCCTTTTGTATGTTGCAAGGTTTCCAACATCGACCACAGACACGCTGTTCGACCTATATTTCACCTAAACCCAAGACCACATTATAACAACAAAGCCAACCCATGAATCAATTTCTAGTTCAAACAACGTTCCCTACTGAGAGGCGAATTTCACGCGGGCGACCTACAAAATGTCATGAATAGTCATGATGACGACGTAGAACCATCCAAGCATATAACTATAGCCACATCTCCAAACACCAGATAATTCTGAACAACACCATCATTGTACATTGCTGAACCCATATTCCATATTCTGCATCTGACGATAATTCAAGTTCTCAAAATGGCCAACCGCTCGCAATCCAAAAACTTCTATCCCGAGGCCGATCCGGATGATGCTCCAGAGATGAAAGATCCCGTTCAGGCCGGTTCCTCTGACCTCGATGAAAGAATGAGTACGCAGCTTTCCTCACACCATTCCTCACATATTCCCTATATTTTGGGGCTATCCTTTCCAAACCTGCTAACACCAACCCTAGCCCGAGATTATAAGGAGGCCATTGATAAAACCAACATCATCAACGAAGAACGTCTTCGCCGCGTGGTACCCCAGTCCTCCACAGCCTACCGCCAACCGTCCGAAGAAGAAATTGATATTTCTTGGCGGCCTGATCCATCGGGACATCCGCGGAGGACTTTCTAGTAGCTGTACAAGAGTTTTGTTGGTTCCTTCTCCGTTGATACTAGGGAATGAACGACATATTTCTCGTTTTACGTCTGTTGGCATCGTCGTATGGGGGGGGTAGACAGCTGAATACTCGGGAGTCTCCATAGCCCTAGACTATTGTGGGACTAGTTGTAGGGCACTTGATCCTAGTAAGAAGGGTGTAATGACATAGCCTCCATATATTAATTGGAGGGAGAATGTTTAGTGGCCAAATCGACGTTAAATCCTACTGGTCCAGATGTTCTGACCCCGGATTCCAAGCCAGCGTCATCATGCAGGCGGGGACATGCAGATTAAGATTTCGCCTGCATATCGGGAGATCTACGCGATCTAAAACGTTACACGCGCCGAACCAGGGTGCGAACCTTGAAACCTTAAGGTGATAACACAGGCCTTCTACGAGACATTAATATGGGAAAATGCAGCTGGAGGGACAAATAAATCGTGAAAACGTGAGAGTATCTCGTGGAAATTCAAGTAAATGCTTATATACATTTGTCATGTCGAACGCCGTCCCAATTGTGCAATCGTTTCCCTCTCGCTCAAAGCTTTCCCTGGGCCTGGGCCTCCTTGGCCGCCTTGGCGTGGCGCTCGAAGGAGGACACGGGGGGAGCGGAGTTGGGGTTGGGGTGGTGCTTCTTGAGTGCCATCTTGACGTTGTACTCCAAGTCGAGAGTGGCCTTGGGGTCGTCGGTCTTGGGCTTGAAGTCCACAACGAGATCATCCTTGACAGCGAAGACGGAGTCGATCGCGAGGTGGGGGTCGTCGCTGGGGTAGATCTGGTTGATGACGGTCGCATATTCGGGGTGGGTGATCATGAGGTGGATGTGAGCGGGACGCATGGGCGAGCGGTCCATGAGGTTGAGAAGGACACCGGCGGGGCCATCGGTCGGCAGAGAGTAGGGAGTGGGGTGGTAGCAGTACCAGTTGAATTCTCCCTTCTCGTTCGAGCGGAACTTGCCGCGGAGGTTGTTGTCGGTCTGGGTGGGGTCCTGGAAATCGTATTGGCCGTTGGCCGAGGCTTGCCAGATGTCCAGGACGGCGCCGACGATCGGCTTGCCACTCTCCATATCTCTGATCACACCGTGCATGAAAGTAACGCGGCCATTGGGCTTCGGGTCTTGAATGATGCTGTCGCCGAGAGCGCGGAAGGGAGCGTTGGGAGACCAGAAGGGACCGAGAATGACGTTGGAGGTGGGGGAGACACCATCCTCAGTGACGATCTTGTTGGCGATCTCATCGACGAGACTAATGAAATCAGTTAGCTTTCACTTTTTTCTTTTCTTGCGGTGCTTTATTTTTTATTCTTAAAGTAAAAAATAAAAATAAAGCCAGATGTGAAAAACTTACGACTCTAGGCCAATCACGTCGCAGATGCGGTGACCTTCGTTGCGGATAGGAGTGCTGATTTGACCGATAGAGTTGATGAACTCAACGCCGAGCATCCACTCAGCGGAGGTCAGCTCAACCTCACGAGCGAAATCGTGGATGTGCTTAATCAGAGAACCCAAGACCACGCGAGCACGCTCGGGGGTCTTGGGGCCCATGCCATTGATGACAGAGGCAGTGAAAGTGGGGTCAAACTGGCGTGTGGAAGACATTTTGTATTATTGAAGAGAGTTGTAAAAAAAGTTAAGAAGTCAAGAAGGTCAGCGCGACCTTCAAGGGTCTATATACATGTCGCGCGACGGCATATCGTTCGGCTGGTCATGAATGTGGGGAAACCGCGACGGTGCCAAACCGCCAAAAATCCCGTTGCCACCTGCCGAATGTTGCGATCGCGTGAATGCAAGATGGTTCCATTCTGGCATCGGTCAGCCCTCAACAGCCGAGTGGCGGCTGGTCCGCTATTATATCAGCGCGGGGAGCCCGGGGTAGCTCTTATCCGCGGGTAAGCCCCGGTATGTGAGTCCCCTTTCACATACCCGCTTTCACCGCCTTTTGATTGGTTCGGCTTTGACTTTTCCAGAACTTCCGGCTCACGTGCCGGCTTACTGTTCTATCTACGAGGTATGGATTATCATGGAGAGGCCAATGATACAACAAATATTTATAAGTATAGATGCAAAACATTCACTGTGGATTAGGATAGACCCACGTCTCCAGGATATGTAGAATCTGGAAAATCCGGGGCGATTTTCCTTGATAGAAATCCACAAGACACAAAAATTCATAGCTTATTGAAGAAATCCAGAATCGTTACTTGTTTCGTTCTCATTTGGCTCATTCACTATTGGTTTTGATACATCGTCAAAAGCGAAGTTCTATCAAATCGTTCACCTCGTAATCTCCTCCATCAAACCCCCCACAATCTACCTGCTGCTTGATCTTCTGATACAGTGCCTTCAAAGCTTCACGATCCTCGTCATCGCATTATGGCCAATGCTCCGCCTGAGGATAAACTGAGCATGTCCCATACCGCCATCAAATTCCATGTAGCGGTCACGCATCAAAGCCGGCACAAGGTCCAGTTCTTTCTCAAAAGGCACCTCATATGTATACGAATCCGATCCTACATTACGACCAATTGCAAACCGACGGAGGTGTGGAAGACCTGTCCTAAATGAAGCAAAATAGACATTCCACCGGCGTGAATAATGGTAGGACCAGGCATCAACCAACTATCGAATGTACGCGGAGTACATATTGCTCCACGTCGGTTCGATATATCACTTACATAGTCGACTTCGACAGTATTGAGGCGAACCTTGTGCACGTGTTGTTTTAACTGCAGATCTGTTATGACAGACTCGAAAGCTTCTCAGCTTTGATCATCAGTGTATAGTGAGACCGTAGAGATCACACTCTTGGTTGCGAAGGCGCATAGCATGTGGTTTGTTAGCCTCAAGGCCTTGAGGGTTTCCGTGTCCGACAGAGACGCGATGATCACAATTACCTCTGGAGGGACATTGAATGAGGTCATGTTCTTAGTTACGTAGAAACATAATTGTCAGTCAGGAAATAGCGCGTCCGGCCTTATGAAACTTCGAGTCCAACATGCTAGACCCGATACCATTTTCTTGGCACTGTTTTCCAGGCATCTTTAGGCAGAAGGGGTCGAAGAATTCCAACATGTCGCAATATTTTCAGATTTGTCCGATAGTCAATTTTTGCCCTTTTTGATTCCTTTCACGGATTTGGTGGCCTCAAATCAACCCACATATCAACTGTGATTTCGCTTGTTCTGATTTTTTGTGCAAACGTTCGTGCCCTATTGGCCAATTCTCGAATGGGCCTTCAATGCCTGGTTTCTCAGGCCGCAAGGCTTCCATTTGCTCTGCTGTAGGTATATGCCAGTGTCACACATAGATCTCCCTTCTTTATCAGAGTACTTCTCATCATACACCATGACGAGTAGTGTAATGACTGCAAATGTGAGCTCTAGATGTGGATATTGACGTGATAGATACGTCTACTTTCGCCACGGTTGCACCTTAGTTCTCAAGAACATCATGAAACAATGAAGACAATTTAATCTCAGCTAAGAAAGGCCGCAGATGACCTTTATTATGCTAGTTAAGGGTTCATGGCATGAGGAGGGAGCAAGAAATATGATCGAGGAAAGATAAGAGTCAGCATGATATATATGCTCATAACGAATGTTAATCATTATGGTCGTCTTTTAAATCGAATATCATCACAGCCATAATCTCAGCAAATAACAAGGCTAAATTCAATTTAAGAAAGTTCAAAAATCGTATACTAATCACAAAGAAACCAATGCAATAGCAAAAGCGCTTCTCAAAACAATTACCAAGCCAAAACCTCCTTCTGCGCTCCACAGGCCAGAGAAGCACAAATCTGCTCATCCTTCTCATTAGTATCTGCATTGCATGCCACCTTCGGTTTCGCCGGCCAGATCTCCCGCCCCGCGGATTTCTCACGCTCAAAGTGCTCAGTGATGACATCGCGGACTGTGCTCTGGAAGAACAGCGGCGCCTTCTCGTACTTGGGGTGAAGCTCGCCACTCGTGAAGACATTCCGGTCGAGGTTCTTCTGTGCGTTGTTGCAGAGGACTTTATCTTCCCCCATGACACGCGCATACATGTCACTGATAAGCTTGAAGTCAGCATCGGAGGAGTTTCGGTTTCGGTAGACTTCGTAGGCCATCCTGGAGCTCTTTGCGCTTGAAGGGAGGAATTTCTGGATCATGATGAAGTGTGGCCTATATATGTTAGAGGATGATCTATTTTAGAAATTATGAACTAGGAGCACTTACGAGACAACCATGGCAGACATGGGGAAGTAGTAGGTACTGGCAGTGTAAAGACCCTTTTCGATTTGCTCTGGTGTAGACTCGCAGTGGTGTTGGATATGTCCATCCTTGAGATCGCTGTCGAACGACTCGAGGTTGAGGAATTCAGGAATATCGGCGTGTGTCGTAGGGCAGTGGTAGCATTCGTTGAAATTATCAGCCAGGATCTTCCAGTTGTATTCGCCTTCGAGCGCATAATCGTGGTCAAGATCGTAGTCGTCAAAGTTGTAGGCTTTGTAGCGTTCTTGCTTGTCCACGTCCCGGAAATGTTCCTCCCATGACACTTCTGGGACTTCATTCGCATCCATATTGACCCAGATAAAGCCATTAACGTCGACCTTGAGGTGGATTCTGAAAAGACCGTTCTGCTCCTTGTCAAAGTTGCTCAGCTCTTGGTATTTCGTAGCTTTGGCGAGTTTGCCATTCAGTCCGTAAGACCAGCCGTGGTATCGACAGGCGAGTATTTGGGAATTTCCTGAGCCCTCTTTCTCAACGACCGGGTACGCACGGTGTCTGCACACGTTGTGGAATGCGTTGATGTCGCCCTGTCGGTCACGAGTGATGATGAAGTCGAAACCGGCAATCTCATAACGAAGCCAGTCGCCGGTCTTCTTCAACCGCATGCTGTGGGTGATGAAGAGCCATCTCTTTGAGAATATAGCTCGACGCTCCAGCTCGTACATCTCTGGTGAAGTGTACCATGATGCAGGCAAGGCTCGAACGGGGGAATCTTTGGTATCCTCCTTGGAGGCAGGGGCATTGAAGCCAAAGTAGTTGAACATTGAAGACATGATGCAGTAAGAAGGTACAATGGAAATGATCTTTGACTGTTTGTTGCTGTACTCATGATCAGGAGGACTCCTTTATATGCTCTGGGGCAGTCTGATATCGGACTGGCAGCCATGTCTATACTCCGATCATATGGACGGCCTGGCTCTAGTTTGGTAGGGCAACCCATCGTGAGGCGGGTGGATCTTCCAAAAACAGACATCGAACCCGCCAACCCGCCAACCCGCCACCACAGTACTACAATCCGTACTACAACGCGGGGGATTTGGCACCATGATCATATTATTGGGCCAAAATGTTATCAAACCTGACATATACTCGGGCAGGTATTCCGTAGTCCACGCTACAGCGCATTATTTGGAGCTGAGCAGACATACTTCGAACGCCGATCGGATCCGGTGGCCAATAGAAGTTCGCATAAATAAGCTGCATAATCCCTAATTGTCAAGATATAGTACTGATAAAATCACGAGGCCTCGGATTCCTCGAGTTGTGGAGATAACTGACTTCTGCAATTAAAAAACAAACACTTGCTATCGGAGTGGAGTGCTATGCATAGCCCTGGCTTCTTTATCATGTCCAATGTCTAACAAAACCAGCTTATGATGCAAAAAAAGCCTCTGATAGTCCAGTGTTGACTCGTGGATAATCGCATAAACGTCAACGTCACTGATACCAGGCTGGTATGCGCCGGCCCCAGCAGAGCCTAAGAGGTAGACAGCCAACAGATTGTCTTTCAGCACCTCTTGCAGATTGCAGACCAGATGGCGTAAGTAATTATCCATCTGACTATACGCGGCTTCTGTTGACGGATGGACTGCTCCGTCTGAACGTTGTAGAGAATTAGCCATCTTAACAGTCCACCGGAAAATTCCTCTTATCATGCAAGTCCTAGTAGATTCTTAGGTGTAGCGAGGAAAGAATAGCCTCATTGACATTGATACAGAAAAATCTGACAATAGAGGAAGTCAGGAGGGTGATATAATCCCGTACGTATGTAAGTGAGTGGTGCAGTGGACCAAACGAATTCTGTTACGCAGTCGGCTGATTGTCAAAACCCCCTTCCGGCTTCTTCTCGGGTATACGCCAAATAACCGTCTCCTCACTCGAGACTTGTCCTTCGCCACTACAAGATATAAAAGCTCCTAAGCCTCGTAGAATTGTGCTGGACCTATCTCCCGTTCTCCGTTCAAAGCTAATCTTTTCAATGTTTTCCCTAACATTGATATCACAACCGGGCATATTCAAACTCACGAAGCAATCATGTCCCTCAACAATATCGAGCACTGCGAGGAAATTGAATCCCACGTGAAATCGCACCTGATTCCCGTCGAAGCCGGTCTTACACATGCCTACGAAAATAGCACTAAGCAAGGCCTTCCCTCAATTGCCGTCTCGCCTGTACTGGGCCGCTTCACTTCTCTGCTCACTGCCGCAACCGGAGCGCGCAACGTGCTCGAAATCGGCACGCTGGGCGGGTACTCCACTATCTGGTTCGCAAAAGGCGTTCAAGGAAAGGGCAAAATCACTAGCATCGAGATCGATGCACATAGACGCGATGTTGCGGTCGACAACCTCCGTGTTGCGGGCGTGAAAGTTCCAGAGGAAGTGGATGTGACTCTCGGAGTTGCATTGGACGTTCTGCCGATGCTTGAGATGGAGATACAGGAAGGGAAGAGGGAGAGGTTTGATTTTGTTTTTATTGATGCCGATCGCAATAATCAATGGAATTATTTTGACTGGGGGGTAAAGCTCTCTGGTGGGAAAGGTAGTGTTATCTATGTCGATAACGCCGTAAAGGGCATGTTGGAGAGTGGGATTGTTGGGTCACAGAAAAGGAATGGCGAGGCAATTGACTTGGTCAGGGAGGTAGGAAAGGATGGGAGAGTCGACTCCGTAGTTATGCAAACTGTTGGGGCAAAGGGCTACGATGGCTTTTTGTTGGCTGTTGTCAAATAGTCGAGGGTTTCGGAGGTGCCTCTAGGTTATGCGAACAACTTTAAGCAAAGGAATCATGGTATCAATGGCTATGAAAATTCCAGATCAAGCGAGTTGAAAGAGGTCTTCAGTAGACTGTCAAGAGTCTCCCTTCTTCGCATCACGCAATTCACCTCGCTCCTTCACTAAATTCGAAATCGCAGTGGCAGTATCACCTCCAAGCTTCGCGAAACCCTGGATCACACCCTCACGGTCCCCGGGCCGCATTTCTTGACTCATCTTAAACTTCCCCTGAAGCTTAGTGATTCGAATCTCAATCCCAACAATGTTCTTCTTCAGCAGGTCAGTGTATGACTGAGGCGCCTCAGAAACCTCCCACGGCTCCGGTTTCTCGCCACCAGTGTATCCCATAATTGACTTCTCGGTATGTTGCGAAAGATCATGCAGTTGCTTGGCGAGGAATTCGCCGGTCTCGGGTGTTTTGGAATCATAGTACAGCGACATCTTGCCATACGCTTGAACGGCGGAGTAATTCCATGTGGGCACGACCTTCCCTGTATCTGGCTTTGTCTCGACGTAGTATTTCGGAGTCACGTAATGGTCGTGTTTGCCATTGAATAGCACTAGGACGTCATCGTCGAGTTCGAGAACGTTTGGTGGCTTGTCGTCCACGGCTTCCATCATAGTCTTAACTTGTGGGTTCTGCTTGGCGATGTGGGCGCGAAGATAGGGATCCGTCTTGCCTGTTTCCTCTGGGAAATCTACCACGAATGGGGCATGGGTGCATTGTAGGAAGTCTTGCTGAGAGGAGTTCATTCCAGTGATCAAAATACCGAGTGGATTTTGCCGGATGAAATGGAGCAAGACCTCTTTGTCTTTCTCCTCATGAGCGCTTTGAAAGAACATGTCGAATAGCAGCTGAAAGGTAGGTGTCAGAGGAGGGAGGAGAGAGTTGTGAAGCCAATTGCGTAGAAACAAAATAATGACCGAAGTCAAGATCCCCAAAATCTCACATTATTGCTGATTTGTTATCCGTAGCCAAGGATTCGTCCACTAAAGGCATGTACAACCGGCTGCAGAGACCCAGCGGGGCCAGAAGGCGCATTGGCCTTTGACATTTTCCCCACCGGATTATCAAATTCCCGAAGGCCAGGGAGAGAATTCAAATGAATTCAGATCACATCCATCGTTCAATATTGACAACGAAACACCTGAGATTCATGATCGCACTCCAAAAAAGAGAAAAGCTGTTGTCCTGGAAGGATAGTGGATAGTGACAGTCTAACCTATTCTGGTTAGTATCCTTCACTTGAACCGGGTTAGGTATAGCGCAATCTTGGAATTTATTGGGGAAGATTACTGGCTGCTATTGGCTAGCTCTGTTGACAACCTTGGAACCTACTTTACTCTATACATACCTAGGTAGTGGACGATACTCTAATTTGCTTCGTTCATTCACATAGAGGAACTTTTCGCCAGTGACATCGAAGTCACCTAACCCAGTTTGACCTATCAGAGCGATGTCTACGCCTATATTTGTTCGATGCTGCCTTCTCGAAGCTTGTCGAACTAACAGCTCAAGGTATCGGAAAAAAGAAGTCCAGCAAGTGTATATCCTATCAATTTCAGTATCCAGGAGACTTTCTTTTAGATCAATACGCTCACGCCCCACCTTATATCTAGGTCTAGGAATGAAGTTGTAGGTTAATGTGCAACTCTGTGTTGCCAATTTCAGAGCAGTTGGTCACACTTGCGGCCTGGCTTAAGGGAGCCATGATCTATAATAGTCTGCTGTATGCCATTGTAGAATGTAGGATTTAGGATTAATATCTTTGGCAAATCACATGTAGTTCCTGGGCTTGGAGCCAGCATGTCCTAGCTGCCCTCGCAATTCCTCTGGGTCTAGTGCGGCGCATGATTCGGCTCATGCTGTCCAATTGGAATTTTCCAGTTTGATTCTCAGTATGGCCACACTAATGCAAGCTGTAGGTCCGGGTTTTCAGCCCTGCTTTTTTGAATAGGGAAGCAGTAGCGAATGGTTCAGGGGAGCTGTTACTCATACGATTCGAGTCATCGGGAAGTACCAGCATGGAGGGAGATGCATAGATCAACCTACAGCCCGTTTCTCTTATTTTTGATCCAAAAAATGCAGATTTTGTCATTTGCACATACATACAGACAAAAATGAGATAATTCCTTTCTAAAATGCTCCAAGATCGACGATTTGAGGCTCACTAGCGTGGTGGATACCACGGGAGCTTGCCTGGTGCAAAGTCAATTCTAGATGTCTGAGGGTTAGATTAGGTAGAGCTAACATTGCAAAAAGCCACAAGTCCGCTATACATTCTAATCACTTGAGCCAGTGTGATTTTTCCAATGATCAATCCGACTTAGTTTGGGAACTTGTGAGAGGATCAGCGCATGAAAGGGGGGGCAAAGTCCAGACCTGGGAAGGTAGCACTGCTGAGGGAGCTCCCGCTATCTCTACAGTATGGGATGATGAGATATGAAAGAGAAAGCGAGGATAAATGAGTTTTTGGTATCCTAATGGCGGCTTTGGACAGCACGTGAGACAATACTTGAGACACCACTTGATATACTACCAATAGAAGTCCAATTTTGTAAGAGAATTATTCATTCGACGCATGTATATAATATGGGGTGATAAAAAGAGGGTATAGACTGAACGGGGCAAGAAATAGGAAAGAAACCATCACAAAAGCCCCAAGGGGGGCTAGAACCAAGACTCCATCGCTCCAAAACAAAAGCCATTTGCGTAAAAGATAAGGATGCGCCGATTTTTGATGGTCAGAAGGTCGCAAGACCTCCCGGCATATAACAACCGAATCCCAATGACAATCGGTCAATGAGACGAGAGTAGAATATCAATCAAACAGAGAAACATGAGGACGTTCCGGCATACGTGTCCACGTTCAGAAGCATGGACGTAACTCGAGCGTCACGTATCGTAATTCTTTGGCATCATCATCATCGCCATTCTTCATAGAACATTACATTGATGCAAGACTGGCAGAACCTGCAGCCGCAGATCCCCAGCGCAGTTTTCGAAGTCCGCCGCGGACCGCTTCCTGACCACACGCTGCTGAGGGGCGAGGACTAGGAACACCATCTCCCATCATTCCGACCTCAGCTCGCCCGACCTCACGGCCGATCATGTACCCCGCAGAAAAGCTGATTGCAGAGAATAGAACGACAACCCCAGCGCTGATGACCCATGTCATGATCGTGGGGCTAACAGCCATTGTTGAATCTGTCATGCTCACACGACGACTCTTCTTCGAGGCAGCACCGTGCTCTTTAGGGGAACTTGAACGGCGCTTTGCCTTGGTGACAGTGGGATCAGATCGCACCGTTGGGGCTCTTAGATGCCTCTGTGGTGCCCCTATAGACGGACTTGGTTCTGCATACTGCGGCGAGGATAAGTCCTCTTCGTCGCTGCTCTCCTCTCCCATAGCAACTGAAGGGCCTACAAGTCGAAATGAAGCGGGTTGTCCGCCTCCAGAGGGAGCAGCTGGGGTGGATGGTGGTCGGTTATCGTTCTTCGGGAGACCTCTGGCGGCAGCCGCACATGAAAGAAGTGTGGATAGACTAGCACGAAGGGCAGCATCGTGGTCAGCATGATGGGAAGGGGAGATCATATTGTAAGGGCTGTGCTGGTATTGAGTTCTCCGCGATGATCGTGGGCTAGGGTATGATTCTCTTCGAGAAGCTGCACGGTGAGTAGAGGTAGACGGGACACTGGGCTGAGGGCGCCGTGCAGTCCATCCAGGTTCCGACGTGGCCGGTGGGTGTGTAAATATGTTCGGTTGAGGTACGAAAGGGGATGGGCTGATGCCCATTCCTAGGGCAGTAGAACTATCATCTTCATCATCGCTGGAGGCAGCGTCTGAACTTGATGATAGCGGTGCAGAGCGCGCAGATAATGCAGCTGGGAGCGTTGGGCGGGCTATATCTTCATTTGAGCTGCTGAGAACGCGGTCAGACTCGCTTTCGCTCTCCTCGTATTCCTCTTGACTGCTACTGGCTTGGCTAGCATCCCGCGATGCATAGTCCACCTGGGCTGCGGTGATAGCAGCAAGATGCTGTAGGCGGCGTCGCCGATTACGGCGTTGATATGCGCCCGCTTCCCCACGCTCGACCTGCAAGCCTGTGGTGATTATGTCTTCATTCGTGGCAGCAGAGGAGAAGGAGGAAGAGGACGGTTGCGAGGACACGTCGATCCAGGAATCTATGTAGTATCGTAGTGAGTACATTATGGAGATATGAGAGGGATTTTGTATGCATATTGAAAAGTTCATCGGCAGGGAAGGTACCAGTCAGATTATAAAAAGGACTACATACCCTCTGATCTCATGGGCGCCGCACCGGATTGCTGAGGCTGACCGTTATCCCGAAGCGGCTGATGGCCATCGCGCGTCATCCGACTTGCGGCTCCAGGCTCGCGCACCTGACCCAGCAGGTCGCAGTGATTTGGTTGCATAGCCGAAGAGTTGCAATAATATGGGGGAAGGGAGTATGTGAATAGAAATAGAAATATAGAAAGAGAGGGGATCAGGCCACCCTGGAGTACAAGAGAGCGGTCAACGTGGGTGGGGGGAAGATTATCTTATCAAATGTGGAGTCGACGATCACTGATGCCCAAGGGAGTCTATACTCCTTTCTGCTCACAAAAACCAGGAGATAAAAGGAGTTAAAAGGAGATTAAAACGGTTAGATTAATCTTGCAGAATCGAAAAGAAGAGTGAAAAGTGAAAGATGAAGAGATCCCCCAGGTGGAAAGGTTCGAGATGATGAGGTGATCAGCAGACCGAACAGGTGATTTGCAGCCCGTGACGAGGCAGAGGGTGAAAGACGATGCGAGGGGTTGTCAGTGAGGAAGGACGAATATTGAGGTTCTTATTGTAGAATTTTGGGGTTCAAGACACTTGCAAAGAGACCTTCTTTCATCAATAGTTCGATCAAAGAAGCATAGATCAATGATCTAAATGTGCTTAGTAGGCAAAACAAAGAATATTGCGGGGAAGGCGGCATCCAGCGGCAATATACTCACCGACGGCTACACAAACAAAGATGAAAGAAGCAGATTAAGTTGACCAAAATTAAAAATTGAAATGTATCAAATTAGAGATACCTGAGCTAGCTAAGATCATATTACACGTAATTAAACACGAACTTTTTTCTCTCAAAGAAAACCTGAGACCCATGGACACCAATATGTTGCGGAAATCAAACGTATGCAGGAAAGAACCTCAAGCTTAGAAGGTGACCTTGGTACCCTTGTACTCGGGGATGGCGCCCTTACCCTTGTTGAGGGCACCACCACGGCCGCCACGGTCGCCGAAGCCACCACGGCCACCACCACGGCCACCACCGCGTCCACCGAAACCACCGCCGCCGCCGCGACCACCGAAGCCACCACGGCCACCACCACGACCACCACCACGGCCGCCGAAGCCACCACGGTCACCACCGGCAGGGCGGGGGGTAGAGAAGTCAAGACGGATAGCACGGCCCTCGAGCTCGTGTCCGTTGAGAGCACTGTGGGCAGCCTTGGCCTCATCGATGGAAGAGAACTGAACGTAACCGAAGCCCTTGGGGCGGCCAGTCTCCTGCTCAGTGGGGAGACGGATTCCGAGAACGGAGCCCTGAGCGCCGAAGACCTCGTGGAGAGCATCCTCAGTGGCGCTGAAGGGAAGGTTGCCAACGAAGAGAGTGTCACTCTCGGGGCTGGTCTGGTCACCGTAGGAGCGAGCACGATCCTGGGAGCGGTCGGCAGGGGGGTTGGCCTGACGGGGAGCGGCGTAGTCAAGGTTGATGGTGCGGCCATCAAGATCGGTACCCTTCTTGGCCTCCATGGCCTTAGCGGCATCGGCGGCGCTGTTGTACTCAACGTAGCCGAAACCACGGGAGCGGCCAGACTCGCGGTCGGTGACAATGCGGACACCGGCGAGCTCACCGAACTCGGAGAACTCACGCTGGAGCCACTCCTCATCAACGTTCCAGGACAGGTTACCAATGAACAGGTTGGCGACAGCACCCTCGGGGACCTCCTCGGTCTTGGACTTCTTGGCAGTGGCAGCAGGCTCCTCATCAGCCTTGCGCTTCTTGGAGACAGGGGTCTCCTCGGAGTCAGAAGAGTCAGAGTCAGAGCTGTCAGAGTCGGAACCAGACTCGGAGTCGGAAGAAGCCTTCTTGGCCTCGGACTCGGACTCAGAGGACTCAGAGTCGGAAGAGTCGGAAGACTCGGCCTTCTTCTCGGTCTTCTTGGTGGCGGGCTTCTCATCCTCAGACTCGGAAGAGTCAGAGTCAGAGGACTCGGAGTCGGAGGACTCAGCCTTGGCAGCGACCTTCTTCTCGGCCTTCTTGGGAGCGGGCTTCTCCTCCTCGGACTCAGAAGAGTCAGACTCAGAGTCGGAAGAGTCGGAAGAGTCGGAGGACTCAGCCTTGGCAGCGGCCTTCTTCTCGGCCTTCTTGGGGGCGGGCTTCTCCTCCTCAGACTCGGACTCGGACTCGGAGCTGGAGGAAGCATCCTTCATGTCCTCATCAGATTCGGACTCAGACTCGGAGGAGCTGGGAGTAGGCTCCTTCTTCTTGTTCTTCTTGGAGGCCTTCTCCTTAGCGGCGACCTTGCTGGCAACGGCCTTGCTCTTGGCGGCGGGGGACTGGGAAGCCTTGGTGACACCGGCATCCTTGACCTTGTTCAAGGCCTTGCTGGCCTTGCTGGCCTTATCGGCACTCTTGGTAGATGTCTTGGACATTTTGAACTGGAGGCGAGATGAAATGTTAGCCTTTGGTCTTTGACAAAATTTGAGGGGACTCATTGGTAGAGAGGGCTTGGAGGCAGGCTTGTAGCTTGGGTAGGGTGGCACATACTGTAGTGACAAGTGAAATTCTTGTAGTATGTGCGGCAAAGCCCACGATCCCTCAAAGCACCCGTGTTTTGGATGTGTAAAATGGAACAACAGCCCTCAGAAGAACTGCCAGAAGTGAACTAAATCACAGCTGGACGTTAACCCACTACCCACGGACGGACAAGTTTTCAAGCCCACAAGCAACCGACAGCCAATACTGTCTAGAATATGTAACCCACGAGGAAAATGTCCCACAGAGCCCACAGAATAGATGTATATCAAGCCCACAGCCCTCAGAGTGATAAGAAGCCCTCAGAGTATCCGAACGAACTTACGAGATAAAACCCACGCGACTGCGTTAGTTAGTGTGTATAAAGATCTCTTGAGTATTCAAGAGATGAGATAAAGAAAGCAACCTGAAACAGACTGCTTTTTTGAAAGGGGAATGAGGAAAGGAAGTAGAGAGGATGGGAAGAAGAAGAAAAAAAAGTGAAGAGCTGGGGGACCAGCAGCTCTGATAAGGAAAATTTTCTGAAAAAAAATTCAGAGGCTGGCAGAACTACTCCGCCTTCCAAAGAGAGTTAGACCAGGCACTTAGTCTCAAAACGATGTGGGTACCTGCCCAGTGGTTGTTGACGACTCACAATCGCGTGTCAATTGGCGGTGTCTTCTGCTTTTGTCTACGTTGTACTACGTCAATTCTTCTACGGAGTACTATCACTTCTACTCTTTCAGACACTATTCCAACTTTTCTTTAACTCGGTCAATGGGAATATAAGTTCCCCTTTTGGCCTTTATCGTGATGGCCCCTCCGACACCCTCCTCGCACCGCCCCCGCAAGAAGAGAAAGGTTGCGATCTCTCCCGGCTCCAACAATAATCTGATCTTGGATCTAGGCGAGGGGAAGCAATCTCCAGCATTTCCACTGGTCTCATTTCTGTGGGCTGCTCGGGCCGGTGTGTCTCAATGGCTGATCCTACCACTTGTCCTTATGGCCGTTGGCCTGTTCCGATGGGCTGTGAGTTTATGGGGTTACTCTGGTATGCGACGTTGTCTCTCTTTCCAGGTGTATCCAATAATTGACCCCATTTAGGCTTCCAGGTTCCCCCGATGCACGGTGATTTTGAGGCACAGAGACATTGGATGGAAATTACCACACATCTGCCTTTGGCGAAGTGGTACACATACGATCTGCAATATTGGGGTCTCGATTATCCACCATTGACTGCATATCACAGCTGGCTACTCGGAAAGATGTATATATCCCTATATCCCATTCATTGTGGAATTATCATGACCTCCGGCTAACCTATCGGCCTGTCTAGTGGCTCCGCCTTTGATCCAACCTGGTTCGCCTTGGATGCCTCCCGAGGTGTTGAAGACCCCCGTTTGAAGGTATATATGCGCGCCACCGTTGTTGTATCTGAATACTTCGTCTTCATCCCGGCCGTGGTCAATTTCCTCCGCCGCTACACTCGGATGCAGGATGTTCATGCATGGTCCGCCTCAATTGCGCTCGTGGCAATCCTCCTTCAACCAGCGAACATCCTCATTGACCATGGCCATTTCCAGTATAACACAGTCATGTTGGGATTGGTAGTTGCGAGCTTGGATGCCATCTTGGCGGGACGTATGCTCTGGGCTTGCATTTTCTTCGTTGGTGCACTGGGATTCAAACAGATGGCGCTGTACTATGCACCAGTCATGTTCGCCTATCTTCTCGGTGTCTGCACATTCCCTCGAATTAACATCCCCCGCCTTGTGAGCATAGCCCTCATCACATTAGCTACTTTTGCTTTGCTGTTGGCCCCTCTTATAGTTGGTGGCTCCAATGCCGAAGCTCGAAAGGCATTTGCATCTTCTCCAGTGCCACCTCTGTTGCAGGCACTTCCTATCCAGATGGACAAGAACTCCGTTACATATGGCCTATTATTCCAACTCACGCAGATCATTCATCGGGTGTTCCCCTTTGCGCGTGGGCTCTTCGAGGACAAAGTTGCCAACGCTTGGTGCGCCATTCACACTTTCTACAAACTTACCCGCTTTGATGCTACGTTGTTGCAGCGAGCATCGCTTGGTGCCACATTGGCGTCAATCGTTGTTCCCTGTGCTATCATCTTCCGCCACCCCCGGGCCTCGCTTCTCCTTCCGGCCCTCTCTACCGTCTCCTGGGGATTCTTCTTGTTCTCTTTCCAGGTCCATGAAAAGAGTGTGTTGCTGCCTCTGCTACCAATGACCCTACTACTTGCTGGTAACGGTGGACTGAGCAAAGAAACACGCGCCTGGGTGGGCTGGGCCAATGTGCTTGGCTCGTGGACCATGTACCCCCTCCTTAAGCGCGACGAGCTCCGCGTTCCTTACATAGTTATGACTTTGCTTTGGGCGTATCTCCTCGGCTTGCCTCCTACCTCTTTCGAGACCTACCGAAATCGGGCATCCCCTGAAGACTCCAATGCTCACTTCGAGCCCGGTACTCTCACAACTCTCCTACACTCTGGTTTCTATTTGGCCATGATTGCCTGGCATATCCTTGAGGCATACGTGCCTCCGCCGCCCGGAAAACCAGATCTTTGGGTAGTCTTGAATGCCCTGATCGGAGCAGGTGGGTTCGGGATTGCCTATCTGTGGTGTATGTGGAAACTATATACCCAATGTCGCCAGATCAGTCGGCAGGCAACCGAGGAGGAAAGCCAGAAAAAGAAGCAGTGATTGTTTGCCTAGGTGGATGGCTGTATGAGTTTCAGTGATACCCCATATTATGTGATTATCCAAAATGAGGCAGTATAGCTGCTAGATTACTTTATTAATATGATTGATTCGATTTGAAATTCGTTCTTTATGAGAGGTGAGACGTTGTATTGGGAAACTTATTTCATCTGGAGCCCAAACTCTAGATTCCAATATGTCACAACACGAGCAAACATGCCCTAAAAACAGACGATATCCAGAGAAAACAAGAAACTCCCGCCAATGAATGCTATATTGTACAATGTTGTATAGTGATAGTACAACCGAGGCCATTCGGTCAGAGATCAAGTCTAGACCTTGAAACCAAATCCGGCCATGCAAGTCTTGTACTGCTCAATGGTGGATTTGCACTCCTGCTCGGGGTTGTCGGACTTGGAGAAAAGCATGCAGTCATCACGAGCGGTCTTCTCGGGTTTGCAGACGCAGCAGGGCTAGAATGAAAGCATTATTAATCGCTTGCGCTTGTTGGTCCGGTAGTATCGGGTCGTACCTTGGGCTTCTCGGACTGGGCAGGCTGAGCGGGCGCTTGCTCGGGGGCAGCGACGCTTTTCTCTGTGAAGCAATGTGTAAGCAAGGGTCGAGGTCTTTCTCCGACATATAGGACCGGCGCATTGCGCAAGTATTCAGGTTAGGTAGATGGAAATAGACATTGGTGCTTACCATTTGAGGAACCGAAGAGCCAGGACATTGTGATGGATATGCAGATGTGCTTGATGAATATTTGAGGTAAACGAAAGACAGAAAGGGAGTGTTAAGTACAAGGGTTGCGAACAAGTCCTTACAGGTGACCTCCATGGCTGACACCATCGGACATTATTAATGGCGCGTGCGGCGTAACTGGTCTCTATGCTGCGCCGTAGTTATTATTTTTTTTGTTATCAACAAACTTGCCTCTTCGGGGTCGTCTCCTTTTCTGCTACACTACAGACTGTTCCGGTTTTCTTTCTTTCTATCCTTGGGTCTATTTGGGTCTCCTCATTGTTGGGATATTGTCTGCCATTGACCTCACGCTTATCCTATTTTATTTCTTTTTCTTATCTCAATATCCCACTTCAACAACTACCCCGCCATGGCCCCTCCCAAAGTCTTCTCCCTCGAGGGCAAGGTCCTCAAGCTCGACAGCGCCGAGGACATGAATGCGCACATTCAGCCCTTGATTGACAACACCGACTACACTGAAATCCGTCTCGGTGGAAACACCCTGGGCATTGAGGCCTCCAAGCGCCTTGCCGAGGTCTTGCAGACTCAAAAGTGCCTCGAAGCCGCCTACCTCGATGACATCTTCACCGGTCGTCTCCTGACTGAAATCCCCACTGCTTTGAACTCTCTCCTGAACGCCATTCTCAAGATCTCGACCGTCCACACCGTTAACCTTAACGACAATGCTTTTGGTCTCAGAACTCAGGCCCCGCTTATCGAATTCCTCTCGCGCCACGTGCCCCTCCGTCACCTCATTCTGAACAACAATGGACTCGGCCCTGCCGCCGGATCTCAGGTCGCCGATGCGCTATCAAAGCTGGCTGAGCGCAAGGAGGAGGCTCGCAACTGTGGCGAGGAGGTTGCGCTGCTGGAGAGTGTTGTCTGCGGACGTAACCGCTTGGAGAACGGCAGTATGGAGGCATGGGCTCGGGCCTACAAGGCCCACGCTGCCGGCCTGAAGTCAGTTAAGATGACACAGAACGGTATCCGATCGGAGGGTATCTCTCACCTCTTGACCCAGGGTCTCTACCACGCGCATTCCCTGGAGGTTCTCGATCTGCAGGACAACACTTTCACCAATGTGGGCTCCACTGCTCTGTCAAACGCCTTGTCTGGCTGGCCCTCTCTGCGCGAGCTTGGTGTCGGCGACTGTCTGCTCTCTGCCCGTGGTGGTGTGAAGGTTGCCCAGGCTTTGGCCGCGAACAAGAACCAGAAGCTCCAGACTCTGCGTCTGCAGTACAACGAGATGAAGGCGGAAGCCGTCAAGGGCTTCACCCACGCAGCCAAGACCGCGCTTCCCAGCCTCCGTCGCATCGAGCTCAACGGAAACATCTTCTCCGAGGATGACCCTAACATCGTTGAACTGCGTGAGCTCTTGGAGGCTCGACAGGAGGAGCATGGCACCGACGAGGACCCCGAGGATAGCTGGGGTGTTGATGAGTTGGATGAACTCGAGGAGGAAGATTCGGAAGAAGAGGATGAAGAAGAAGACGAGGAAGAGGAGGAAGAGGCCAAGGCTGAGAAGGACCTCAAGGATGCCGAGCTTGCTGAGGAAGAGAAGGTTGCTCAGAGAGAGGACCAGGACGTCGATGACCTGGCCGATGTTCTGGGCAAGACGGCTATCTAAACCTCTGGAGCTGTTGGACAATTGTCACTCCCATCAGTACCTGCCTTCCATCACGGACGGATCATGGATCCAACGCCACGTTGATATCACCAATGGCTGCGACCCGCGCCGTTGGCTTATTGGTGTCCTGGCTATCCATGATCCCTTTCTATGTCCACAGCCACTCACAAGCTTCGGGTATGAGGATCTGACTGACGACGCTTACGCTTTACCTTCAAAAAAGACCCCCATTTGTTATACCCCAATCTACAATGATGAAACCCTAGCTGCACATAATTTCCTCTTGCTTTGATCCACTTTCTGTTTGCATAGCCATGAACTCTTCATGTTTTCTTGCAGAGGACTACACAACCCTATAGATGGAATACATATCTGGACAAGCAGGACCATTCACATAATGATAAATTTGCGAAAAATGCGGCAAGTAGTTGTATATACAAAATTGCATAAATTGAAGGGAAAATAATTTCCGAAAATGGAATTCAAGGCTTGGCGCAAACCTCGGACTTCGCAGCTCATCAAATTCCCTTTACCTCGTCGGCTTTGACATTACCCCATCTACCATACATGTCACTACTGGCGCTTCCATTGCCGTCGCCTTTCCGCTCTTTGTCTTCTTTACCGGTCCCATCTCGCAACACTATACCGTTGACGCGACCGTGAATTATCTCTAGGTGAGTGCCCGCGCAAAACACCCCTCACTACATCTTACTTCTGCGCAATTCCGCATTGTTTTTTAAGGCGCAATTTGTATAGCAGCTCTCATGTCATTGTTTCCAAGCTTTTTTGTTTGTTTTGGTCAAGTTTCCGAGAGCAAATGAGGGAGAAGGTGGACACGTGCAAATTGACAGCGTACCACCTTCCGCCGCATGAGTCTCTATGGCGGGGTATTTTGAGGACGATGTTTCGTGTGACCTTTGCTGAAAGCATATGTGCTCCATGTTCTGTGATCCCAGAGGGACAAATTTGCATGGCGTGGTTCTGCAGAATGCGCCGGCATCCGGGGCTTATAAAGACCCTGCCTCTAAGCTTTTGAGATAACATGCTAACAGTTGTGGCTTATAGGTCTCCTAGAACTTTCTCACCCGGTCCTCCATTGACCTCGCTACTCACTCTGATCGCGCTATCCCTCTACCCCGCACAACATGGCGATGGACGCCAAAGAGATCGAAGCTAAGGCCAAGGCCCTGGGCAAAGCCGCGACATCGAACGAGTCTCCAGCTGTGATCCTGGGGCTCCTGAAGGACATCCAAACTGGCGTCCGGGCAACCGAAGACCTCCTCCGACAGACGCGCATCGGAATCATCGTCAACAAGTTCAAGCAAAGCAAGTCTCCCGAAGTCGCACGGCTCTCCAGTGAGATCGTCTCCAAGTGGCGGACTGAGGTGAACAAGCAGAAACAGGGCGGTGGTACAGCAGCCAGTCGTGGCTCGAGCGGATCTCCACGACCAGCGCAAAACGGTACAGGAGCGTCCACCCCAGCCGCTGCTACACCCTCAGACAAGGCGTCAAAGCTATCCGTGCCTCCGGATAAGCGAACCTGGAAGGCAGATGGGGCGGAGATCAATCATACCGGAAACCGAGTGCGTGACAGCTGCACGGGGCTGATGTACGATGGATTGTGTGTTGGATCAACCGAGTCTCCAAAGACTGTTCTATCGCGCGCCATTGCAGTGGAGATCTCCGCCTACAAGTACCTTGGACCGGAGACGAAGGAGGAATACCGCACGAAGATCCGCAGTCTTTTCCAGAACCTGAAGAACAAGTCGAACCCGAAGCTGCGGGTGCGCGTTGTCGAGGGAGAAATTACCGCTGACCAATTTGTGCGCATGACGCACGATGAGCTGCGCTCCGTTGAGCAGCGTGAGGCGGATGCCAAGATTCAGAAGGAGAATATGGACAAGGCTATGGTTGCCCAGCAGGAACGCAGTATCAGTAAGAGCTTGCAGTGCGGAAAGTGTGGTCAGCGCAAGGTTACCTACACCGAGGCCCAGACTCGTGCAGCTGATGAACCGATGACTCTGTTCTGTACGTGTCTGAACTGCGGCAAGTCCTGGCGACAGTGAGCTTGGGGAACGTTTGAGAGCTGGAGCGGAAATGTATTATTCTTTGGGGACTCGGTGTTTCTTTCTTTCTCTTTTTTTCCTTTTCTCTTTCTCCTGTTTTCATCCTTCCCATCAAGCGAAGGCTATGAAAGCCAACGCTGGAGTTCTACTGTGGGCCTTTGATTTATGTTTTCCTTTACATCTGTTTCCCTTTCGGGGGCGAAGCTCGTCTGGGCAAATGGATGGAAAACAGTCGTGAACTATCTACCAAAATTCAGATATCCCAATGATTGATCCCGACTCTTAAACAAGTATAGATTACCCAAGTATAGATGGTTGTTTTTGATACTACATAAATAAACAGTAGCATATTGGTATATCAACAAATATATATCAACGTCATGTTGATGTCAATATTCACCTCCATCACCTGAAGGATATCAAACCCGCATCTATATATATCCCACATCTACACCTCCAAAACAAATATCCCTATCATGGCCACCCGCGCAGACCTTATAAAACCAATCCATGCTTTACTACAAGCTTTAACAAACCCATCCCCAAACCCCGACAACATCCTCTCAACCTTCACAACTTCCCCAAACCCCCTAGTCCACGAACATGGTCTCCCCCAACTAGCCCCCTTCCTTGGCCGACCATTCACCGGCCAAGACGGAATAGCAACATACTTCGAACTTATCTCCTCCCTACTTTCTATCAAGAACATGGTCTTCGAGCCCGAAGAGAACTGGGTGGTTGATGCGAGCTGTATGGCTGTTTCGTTTCGCGGGTCCGCCACGTTCGTCTGGAAAGAGACGCGGCAGGCGTGGGATGAGACGTTCGTTTATCGGATTAAGCTTGCTTTCGACGAGAGTGGATCCAGGGAGGGGAGGTTGGCAGTTTGTGAGTATCAGATTTGGGCAGATACGGGGGCTGCGTATCTTGCTAGGCTTGGGAAGTTGGGGGATTTGATAGGGTCTGGGGTTGACGCTGGCGGTGGTGAGGGGATTTATGTTGATTTTGATGCAGAGGGTAAAAAAGAGTAGGAGGATATATATATCAGCCAACAGTGAGGAGTGTCAATCATAAGGAGAGTATCATTATTTTGGAGATTTTTCTAGATAGACGCAGACGATATGCACATACTCTACATCAAATCTTCCATCCACATTATTCTAAAAAACCAGAGGGAGTCTATCCCTCGAAGACGCTGTGGTTGAGCTCAACCCCCATATCCTTCGCCATATTCTGCATCTGAGCCTCGATATCATCCTCCATACCACCACCCAGATGCAAGAACTGTCGCACCTTGGTGAAATAGAAGAAGATATCAGTACTAAACAGCACCATGCGGAAGATAAAATGACGACCGATGTTCCGGATCTTCTCGGCCAGCGGCAGATCCGGTGACTCAATAAGAGCACGCGAAGCCCAGATACCAGTAATTTTAACGCGGTTTACTGGCGAGCCCAGGAACTGATTATTCCCTTGCACGATGCGCAGATTGCGACCGATGAAGATCAACTCCTGCGGCCACTTGGTTTCATCACCCAGCATCTCGCGGATCGCCTTGCGCATGGCCTGCTGCATCTCGTAGTGTCGCTCTGCACGCTGTGACTTGCTCAGGCCCTGGAGACCGCGGTGCGTAGACCTGTCCCCGCCAGTGTAGGGACGCATTAATGTTGCGGACGCGAAGAAATCTGGGTTGTTCACGCCCCAGCCCTTGACAATCTCGCTCAGCGTGCGATTGTCGAAGGTGAGAAGGGCTTTCCAGAAGCGCGCGTATTGATGTCGGAATCCTGGTTCCATGTGGATGTACAGGCCGTGGTCGATCAGAACCAGCTCTGGCTCTCCGGACGGCTTGCGGCGGATGAAAATATTACCCGGGTGCGGATCGCAGTGGACGTATCCCCACAAGAACATTTGAGCAGAGAACAGGTCTACCATAGTCGTCATCACGTCCTTGAGAGATAGTCCCAGTCCGCCGCGGTTATTGCGGCCTCGCCAGTAGTCGCGCTCTGGCTTGGTCCTTGACGCGCGCAGGTTTCGCCCCGCAGAATTCGTCTCCGGTTGGTCAAGGGGTGTGCCGTGACAGCCTGGACTTCCCTGGCGCCAGCCGCCGCGCCAGGGCCGCGTGATGGCGTCTTTGTCCCAGAGCCGTACGCCTTCTACCCATTCAGCGGTCATGACGCGCTTCGAGCTCAGTTCGCGGTATACACGAGGAATGTACACGCGATCGCGCAGACGAGGTTCACCGGCCACTAGCTTAGCCATATTTTCCGAGTTATCTGCTTCATTTACGAAGTCTGTTTCGAGCGATAGTCTTTCACTGATGTAGGGAACGAGACTGTAGAAGGGGATGTCGAACAATTTGCTGTAGATAAAGGTCACGACTCTAGTGGTTTCAATGTCAGCATAACGTCCTCTCGCGGCTCGAACTTGGACAAACTCACTTGAAAGCCCAAAGATCCCATGCTAATTGCTGCACGATCTCCCGTTTTTGGATTTTGATGGCGACCTCCCTGCCATCCTGTAGACGAGCCCAGTGAACCTGGGCAACACTGGCGCTGGCTCGTGCTTTACGCTCCATTACACCTTTGTCGGGGGCACCCGTAAATGAGATACCGAATACCTCCTCAGGCGACTTCCCAAAATCCTCACGGATGACCTTCTCGATGTCCTTCCAGTCATTCTGAGGCGCATCATCGAACATGCGGGCGAACATATGCTGGAACTCAGGGGGCAGGATGGCAGATTGCATCGCAATCGCCTGTCCCATCTTCAAGTAGAGACCGCCATTATGCCTCAACAGATCCGACAAGCGTTCTGCATTTCGGGCGTGCACAGCAGCAATAGAGCTGGCCAGTGGCGGGTTTGGGCGAAAGTTGATTTTGTAGTCGAGGGCGACGAAGAGACCGAGAGAAAAGGTCCGGGCTGTTCGGGTCAGCGATGAGGCGTAGAACTGGTTGTCAATGCCGTAGACGACGCCTGTTGCCAGTGAGACGTAGATGATTCGGCGTAACCATTTGATGGTTCGTTTATAGGTCTTTGCTTCTGTGGGTTTCCCTAGGGAACTTGGTGACGGTGGTACAAAGGGTTGGAATTGGCTTGAATGGGCATATCGGTGCGGGCGCCAGATTGAGGGACGGATGGTGGGCCGCAGAGAGCGGAGGAAGGTCGCGTGCGCCATGTGAAGTTGTGGAAAGGCGAATGCCTAATCACTGCATGGTGGTGTTGGCAATCAAATAGAGTCTGATCTGAGGTGCAAGGTAGATTAGTGAGAAGTAGAAATGTTGTGTGTTGTGTGTTGTGTGTTGTGTGTTGTGTGTTGTGTGTTGAGTGATGAGTGATGAGTGTTGAGTATCAAGTAAGCCCTGGAGATAGCCCCGGGGCTTGTCGTCATCCGTGGTAGCTCCGCGCGGAGACGGAGACGGAATTCAGCGATGTCCTTATTTCCGACACTAAACTCCATACTCGCATCTAATTTCCGTGATATGGGAAAATATGAAGTGGAATCGGTATATATAAGTGGTATTAATTACAAGTTTAACACTATTTACAGTTAAATCCAGACATAATTCATAATTCATCATGGTCATTAGGACCCAAACTGTCACACGCTTTCGCATAATCCCTCATATTCTGAGGAATCGTAATATCCCACAGTTCATCACTCTCCAAGAACCTTAGTTGCTCCTTACACGATTCCTCTGAGGCCATTGGGATCAAAGCAGGAAGATGTTTGATCGAAGCCTTGAGGAAATTGCGCTTGAAGCAGTTCCCAAACCCAGCCAGAGTCTCCGAATCCGAGCAGATATGTACTCCACCACCCAGCATCGGTCCACAGCTTTCCTTGATGTTGAGCGCAACATCGTCGCCCATTTTCAACAGAGCCTCCTCTTTGTGGGGTACATTCATGCGCTGCACCAGACTGCGAACGGCGGGGACAAAGGTGTTATTGCGCGTCCATAGATCCCAATGCGGGACGGTCGGCTGGCATCCAACATCACAGATTTCACTCTGGAATTTATCGAAGAGGTAGGCCGGTCGGCTAACCAGTGCGGAGACGACTTTGAAGCATGATGTACCGAGTGCTGTGACGGGGGAGAATAACAAGATAAGGACGAGGAAGAGGCGATCGAGGGAAAACCGCATCATGCGAGAAGACGGGAGGATGAGGACGAGAAGACCGAGATCGATTGAAGTCTTCTAATTGCAGTTTTGAGGTTTTGTAGTTTTGTAGTTTCAGGGGGAGAGGTGAATGTGATTCCCCCGCATTTGTGGAGAACTCGGAACTTCAACTTCATTGTTTGTACGTTGTACTTTGTATACAACATGGCGTCTGCAATGAATTTGGATAGTCGCCATGATCCTTTCAGGTATTTCCTATATCCCCTTCCCAAGTCGCGAAAGCCTCTAATTACCAATCTAGTGATGACTCTATGGAAATGCCCATAAACATAGAAGAGGTAGACTCTCTCGAAGCCATTGTTATCATCGACAATGAGCTAGATCCGCTCTCACCCCCAGCCCTGGGTACTGTCCAAATCTCAGGGAATCTGGGATCAATTGCCATGAACTCAAAGCATACATTGACAGATCGTGGGGAAGCCTGCAAGGAATTGAGGCTGGAAGATGTCTGCTGCGCTGCACATGGCTTGTCAATTCTGGTGGTAAGGCGATGCTCTGCCATTGGGCCCTTGGATATGGTTTTGTATTAAGCCTATCATATAGACTGCCACTAAAGGTGACAAGAAGCACACTATTCTCTTCGATGCTGGTCCTGAAGAGGAGGCATGGGAGAGAAACGTGAAGCGGCTGCGACCAAATCTCTCCTCCGTGGAAGTGATTCATCTATCACATTGGCATCGAGACCACTCCGGTTCGTTATTCTGAGCAAAGATGGACGTATTGACGCGTATTCTCTTCAACGGTTCTGACATTCACGTAGGTGGGCTTCTACAAGCAATCCGCATGATAAAAGATGCCAAACAAGCGGAGAGCCACGCCGAGGACCTCGTCGCGGACTTGCACCCAGATCGACCCGCCTACCGAGGCATTGCTCTCCCGGAGCATATCATCTCCCTCGAGGCTGATCCTACCTTCGAGGAGATTAGAAGCGCGGGTGCGGTGGTCGACAAGCGAAGCGAGCCACACACCGTACTTGATGACTTCTTTCTTGTCTCTGGGGAGATTCCACGGGTGACACCGTACGAGACAGGTCTGAAGAATTCAGTGCGATATGACCCTGATGAGAATGACTGGTTCTCTGACGAAGTCATCCTCGATGAGCGTTCCCTCATCTGCAATCTCAAGGGTATATGCTCCCTAAAACCCGCTCACAGCCTTATTGAGCTAACATGTTCTTTAGGAAAGGGTCTTGTTGTCTTCACTGGATGTAGTCACGCTGGCGTAGTCAACACCACCAAACACGCCGTCGAACTCACCGGTGGGTCGGTACCCGTCCATGCCGTCGTCGGTGGGTTTCATCTCGCCACAAGCGACGCGGACCAAATCCAAAACACCGTCGCCGATCTCAAACGGCTCGATCCCGCCGTGCTCATGCCGGGTCACTGTTCGGGCTGGCGGGCCAAGTTTGCGATTGAGAAACACATACCCGGGTCATTGGTGCCCTGCACTGTCGGATCAAGAATCACATTTTGATACCTGTCGTATTGGTTTCATCCGAGACATTGATACTTTCTGAAGCTGTTCCTTACAGTCTTGTTCCCCACGTGGATGCAGGGTCTTGATGCGAAACCGCATGGCATGGGTTGCTCGAGCAACGGATCTCATCAAGGGGTTATCTCGTCATCGGCTCGGCATGACTGGTTTCGTTGATCGGATTCCGATTCCTGACATCACTCTATCTCCTTGCTGCATTTTCTTGCGATCGGAACAATGCGGGATGGATGCGAATGACTGTTTCTAGACGTATGGTAGTAAACGCGATAATGGTAATAGTAATACTGAAACTCATACAGTCAAGCAGCGTAGGCGTTGATGATTCTGAGCCTGGTTGTAGCCATAACTTATATCGCACTTTTGGATATTATATATTTCGGAATAGCAATTGTAATTGTAATTAAAAATTTGAAAATTTAGAGCAGCATGAGATTTGTGGTTGAAGGATCGAATCTGATATATATCTTCAATATTCAACAGCAATTGTATGCTACTAATATATATTTCCTTTCGGTGATTAGACCTGGATGTTCAAATTTACTGTGATTGATCTATAATATTCAGCGTAGTCTAAAGAATTGTCAATATTATATATATGTGTGTATTCTATATACCATGCAAAGGATGTATAACTTCTATCCACTACATCAAACCTTCATCAAGTCTCACAAACTTGTATTGAATTCCATGCACATTTACTCCCATACCCACATCCCGATTAGTCAAAAAGCACGCCATCCACAAGATACAGATAGGATACAGTGTAACCATCAAAGCAGCAACTACATCCAAGGACGCCCGATGTCAGCTGGACCAATCCTCCACCTCTCCGTTGTGTATTGTTCTACAGCCAAGATCCCTTGGTAGTAAATATCCACCGAATCCCTAAGATATAGCATACAGATATGAGCAAAACAGTCAGTCGCCGTCTTGGCCCAAGAAATTACCTCAGTGATAGAGTAAGCCCAAGTATCGGCGTATCGACGTCAAACAGATCCAAATGCGCCCCCTGACAGCACCACACCCCTCACAGACGACACCTCTGATAAGAAACACGACCCTACATTTCACATTGCTACATACTCATGTGCATTACTCCACGTATGGAGTACTTGTACGGAGTACTCCGTACAAGCATGCACACTGCCCCCGCCAAGACGCAAGCACAACAAGCATTACCGACAACGACCCTTGCGCTTGTCAACTCCCCTCTCCTCTCCACCCCGCCCCACGATCACCAAAGCCCGACTCCATGACCTCACGCCGACTCGACAGAAAAAAAGGGGCTGGTCAGAGACCAAATGCTCGCCAAGACGATAATGCGGGAGGAAGGGATGCACAGCGTGGCTTGGCGTCGGTGGACAGGTACAGGATGAGGGCGATCAGCAGATCAAGGGAGGGGGAAAATTCCTCGCATGGTGTTTGACGCGATAAGCAAAAGACTTGACATCATTCAATGACTTTATCATGTTGTCTATCGTATAACATTGTAGAAGCATGCCAAGACTATATTTGAATAGTGTCAGTCTTCCTTTTTTTGACGCTCGGCGCCAAGATCGAATGTTTAGAGGAAACAGGGATGAAACGCAATAGCCGGGATGATTTGCGCGCATTGATTTTTTGAGACTTGTTGATGGCTCCTGGTCGCTAGTTTCTGTTCTCTTTTTGCTATTTGGATACATGCGCAGGTGTGATCTGTACTATCAGAGAATCTTCCCTTATGGGGCAAGTCGTATTTGACGATGCATGTCATTGATCCTCCGATTCATAACGGACTATTGACAGTCCAAGACAATGAAGACAAGGATGCGAAGTCGATCATTCATCCCGTTCTAACCTCTCACTCTCATAAATGGGCAATGCCCAGTGTTGATACAGCGTAGCCAAGAAACTCTAGTGAAACAGAGCAGTGAAACTCGAGCATGAGTGCGCTCCCCTTCTGTTGTTGGATCTTGGCTTTTGCCTGTCTATCGTCGATCATAGAGTTTAATCCCACATTGGTGCCATCACAGCATTGTCCATCCACTCACCGCGACGAATGTTATCTATGTATAGACAATAACACACTGCACGCCAGGCAGCATGTCGATCCCCCAGCATCCCCCACGAATCCATCCCTGTCTTGCTTGGCATACCCGGACCTGGTACAGTATCCCAGGAGTACCCCAGGTATACGGTATCTGTAAGATTTAGAACATAGCAACAAAAATTATACCAAAACAGTGTTTGAGCTATATTATGCAGCCTCGACTGCGCCCCCAGATTTCACCAGGCACCGGTAGATATTGATATCCGGTACTGATCGGGGAGTTTAACGGTGGCTATGCAGATCTGCCGACAGGTGCATACAAAGAAAGAGAGATATCTCGTAGCCTAGCAGGCAGTCTCATATATTTCTTCTAACAATAGTAACAGAGAAGCAAATAGCAACAGCTCTACTGTATCCAATTCGTCATACTCATCATAATAACCTCCGATCCTGGAGAAAACCAGCAGGTATCGTGAACACCGCCGATCAATTGTGCCCGAGTGGCAGTTACAGCCAGTCCGAGACAAAATACTGTAACGTTTAATTCGGTCTCGAGAAGCAGTCTACACTCTGTATTTCAATATTGTATCAATATAACACAGCCAAGAGGAAAAGAGGAATATCAATACTCCATCCGGAGTACAATTATTGAGTACATCGTCAGTGCAGCACGGGGAGACAGGGAGCGTGTGCATTGCAAATCGGACTGTATTTTTTTTTTTCGCGTACAGGGTCAAAGTTCGGGATACTTACCCTACCCATAACGTCTCTCTCTCTCTCTCTCTCTCTCTCTCTGCACAGGGGACAGGGGACAGGGGACAGGAAACACTATCCGTACATATCCCACGAAACTACTTGACCGGGTGTATTACCCCGGAGCCATACTAAACGGGGTAATTATGTTGTACGTGCATACTTGCCTTGCGTCACAGGGGGGAAAGGAAGAACAACAAAGCGCGCGTATGTCTTTAAGTAGTGATTTGTTATTTTCCAATCTAATATGGTTAGATATAACATAGATAGCACAAAGCCTTCCCGACACCGGACACAGGTCGCGCTAATCCCGGTTTTTTAATTAAATAATGATGTGCAATTGCTGTATACGGGGACCAGTAGTAAGCGCGGGAAATATCCCTTTGTATGAGCCCCCCGAGAATATCACTTGTCTGTTGTGACGGTTCGCGTCCAGCGCGTGTGGGGTGTTTGTTTCTCCTGTCGATCGCGACCGGAAGGGGAAGACTAGCTAAGCATGTGGTCTGTCTTGGATGGGGTAATCTGGTCTCTTATAGGCCCTGGATTATCATTTGAGGTTGTATGATGAGTGTTGTTTGTTTATTGCTTATTTAGGTATCGTGTGGTAACTAGGGAGTATAATATAATGTATGTCATCATAGCTATCTTGAAAAGGTTTAGATAGAGTGATTTTGTGCGTTATCACACGAGCTACCCTGTATAGTATATTTCTCCGTGTAATCTCCACGGTCAATCTCAAACACCATTCAAAAGGATTCGGATTGGCAGTTATCTCGACTAAAAGTGTTAAACTCCGAAGCTAGAGACAAAGAGTTGTTCCAGGATATTGCTCATTGTTCACCTTCGCTTTTCATAGCGGACTGTGCGTATTGGGAGGCGTGTCCGCATGTGATTACTAGGATCTGATCGACACAGGGTTCGTATGCAGCCAAGAGAAAGGTGGAAGATAGCATTCGATCTCGACATATAATATGTACGATGCGCACGATTCAGTCGAGGATAGCTGGGTAAATAATTCAGCTTGCACGATTCAGCATGATGGATAGGGCTGATTAGGGCAAATAATTTTTTTTTCCCACTATTACTTGGTGGCGTGCAGGAATTGATTCATCCATAAAATTAATGATGAATAAACAAAGAAAGGGACAAATTACCCGATATTTCGGCTGAAATGAAGATGAAGATCCAGGGAAAGGTGAACCAGGAATCCAGAGTTAAAGGATGAGAAATTAATTTTTGATATGGTACATAACCATAGTATGTTGTATAGACATCTATGGAGTACAAATTTCAAAAAACTGGATGTGAAACCGTGACGTGCCGAATTCCCGCGTGCCGCGTCGCCCGAGTCGGGGCACATTCGACACGGGATCACCGAGGCTGGCCGATTTTTGCACCTCGGCGAGAAATGCACACGAGCCAAGACCGAGAGGGGTCCGATATAATCCAAAATCACTGATCCAATGATGTGTCCTGAACGAGAAACCTCAATATTCGGGGGATTAACTGGTTAAGGTAACATCGAGACATTCAATCCTGGACGGGCAGTAATTCAATCCTGAACGGGCAGTAGTCTCGAAAGCACAGACACGCGGGGCTAGTTTCCAAGGTACGTATGTTGTATACGGAGTAAGTAGTTATTGATTCCATGGGGTTCGAATTGGCTGTTCAAATGGAATAATACAGAGTGCTACGTAGCTAGAAGGTGAAAGAGCACCCCGGTGATAATCATTTCTCAAGCTATGACCACCACCATCCCACGCCCCGGGAAACCTCCATCATATGTACCTCCATATAGCCGCCAAATCTGGAGATTACTCCGTACAGTTCAAAAGGATATTTTTAATATACTGCATCTAGACTATGCTCAATTTCCATTCCAACACGGGTAGACACGATATTTCTCGTTTCAAAAAAGAAAAAGACTTAAAGCTCTCCTGCAGGTGCGGGAACCACATGAGACTATTCCTAAATCGGCCTTGGGGTGAGGTACCCCCGTGCACGGGGGATTGACTGTCTCTTCAACCCGCGTTTTTTTCTTTTTTTTTGGTGTTTCTCCTCGGTCTTTGTTTCTCCATGGGCAGTCAATTCTGGGGTGACCAAAAGCTGGGATGGCTTGGCGAACCGCGCTTTGTCTAAGAACAGTTTACGGTGGTACTTTGGTTTTCGTTCATTAAATCCATGGATGCATACGCAT